GCAATGTAGCCTACTTTAGACAGGTGAGCAAATGTACATAAAACTAATCAATGCTATATAAGTTAGCTCCAAATGATCAAATGTTAGAATATGATCAGTATGTTATTATAATGTTGATCTAGTTTACTGCTAGTCTCATACAGCCAACACACTAACACATAGAACAACATTATAACTTTCAACACACTCAAATGCAGTTTAGTGTGATAGAGTAGACCAAGTGAAACAGTGGTGCTGCGTTACCTCACAAGTTTCATTCGTCTAATAAACTAACCTGTGTGAGTAGTAATTCCGCACTTGCGTGTAAGTTAGTTCGGTAGAATGAAATGTCCTTATTCCTTTATATCCGCGGGACTCGTGTGTGGCGCTGATATCCGTCTCTTATAGGGAATGCGGAGGTACGTCACGCCGTGTTGCATTATGGGACGTGGGCGCCATCTTTACAGGCACGATCTCAGTTTACCTTCGGTATAATCAAGGGGGTAATCCATCGACCGGAAGTTGAAGCCGGCCGGGTGCCGCCATGTTGTAGCAGAACTTCACTTGCGTTAGCATTTCCATTGACTCCCATTCATTTTTGCGTCACTTTGACAGCGAATAACTTTACATCTGAGGCGTTTAAAGACTCCATTTGTCCATTATTTATTTCTAAAGAAACACGACAATGTATAAAGGGCTCCATTACCTTCTATGTTACACTATGGCCCCGTAGAAACAGATTTAGTAAAAATAGGCTAACGATTGCGTCATAACCACTCGACTCTCTGTCGCGCTGTACAGAAGTTATCGTACAGACAGGAGGAGAAGCTCGCAGGCAATCGGGGGGACGTCCCGTCAAGGGAGAAGCCCATAGATAATGAGTCCATAAAAGCAACGGAATTCTTACTCCTGCTCACTCACGCCAAAGAACTCTTTGCTCAAGTTCCCCGTCTCTGCAAGATTAACGTTGGCAGTTTTCACGCACAGCTACTAGAAGATTAACGTCTGTCAGACAGGTTGCTCACGTCATCAAGCTTAGTTTGAGTCGGTCTGAGTCTGCGCGTCAGGAACGGAAGTTCTCAAAAATCGCTAAAAGTGGGCTTCAACTGTCTCAACTGAGTTCCAATGAGATCGCTCTGTCCATTTCTTTTACTGTCTATGGGTATAATAGTGGGTGTTTGGTAGCCTCGTGAGACCATCCTGATCTCGCGAGCTTTCAAGGTTTCACTCGCAGATCAGCCTGGATACTTTCCGTTAAAGAAAATTTGGGAGCAGTTCACCAAACGAACGTCCAATCAGCGTTGGCTTTGAGGCGGGTTGAGGTGTGACGCAACGAGAAGCGCGTCAGTTCAGTCTAAAGAACATGTCGGCTTCAGCGGATGAAACTAGCATCAGCGTGGCTATCGAGCAAGTTTTATCGGAATTACAGAGTATTTCTTCACTGAAAGAAGAGCAAAACACTGCTCTGGAGGCTTTTCTCAGAGGAAAAGATACGCTCTGTTAGTACGTCATATGCTTCGTTGATCTGATTGGTTGATTTGGCCCGTCTATCACCAACTTAGGCCAATCAGCTAACCAGTATTTTCGCCCCTTACCAAAACTACTTCAACGGAAGGTTTCCAGATGGATATGCGGAGCAAATCCATCTGGCGGAGTCAGGTTAGGTGTTTGGCTAAAACGAGGTAAAATTGAAGAAGAACGGAAGAAATGGAGATGTTTAAAGAAAAAGACAAGGGACCCTACCGGGATAAACTAAATGCCACTGCCAAAAAACGTTATTTAGACAAACTATCCGCGATAAACAACGTTGATATCTGATTTAGTTTTGGTGTTCAAAGCCTATGCTAAGTTGATTACTATTGTACATAAAGTTCAAGCTATTTTACCTGAAAAGCAGCTCTCATAGTTTGTTAGCTTGCTATTTTCAGCATATGTTAAGTTTTCATAGGTTTTGCAAGAAATTTACATTAGTTTATAATGCCACAAGATGTGGTAACTTGTTAAATACAACTGTGCCTTATTGTCATCATTCAATGTTGACACGTGTAAAAATGAGGGTATTTGGTCATTTATTTTAAAATAGTTTGATGTATCTTTGCTCATTTATGTGTACTTAAAGGGTCTTTGTTGGATGCAATCAGTACAGAAACAGAGATGTCACTTAATGTATTTATTAAGCAGTTATATAAAAACATGATTCACAAACATTTTAAAAAAGCCATGTAAAAAGATCTACAGAATATCAAAGCAAATTGTTAATTGAAAACAAAATAAATATAATTTGATTCATGCAATGTGTCCTGGCTTTATCATCTGCTAACATGAACCACAAATTCAACATCATTCATCAACTATCCTCCTAACTGTTAGTCATCGAGGAATATACAATACACAACCTCTTGCTTTGTACAACTTTTAACAAACGTAGTATGCAGTGGAGGACAGTAAGTCAAGTTTTTCCTCATGATTGCGGCACCCCACGCGATCCGGCGTCTTCTCGTCAGCTCCTCGACCTGCTTCCCTTGTTGTTTTTTCCAAGAAAGAAAGGTGAAAAAACGTATTCCGTTGTTCAGTTTCCTCCCTGAACGATCGTGTGACCTGCTATGGCAGTTGAACTGAACAACCATATCGACGTTTATTAAAATCTCGACAGAAAATCCAAACACAGCCTCCAACACATGCATTTAAATATAGCGGTATTGGGCGCAATCCTGTAAATATGGCGGCGGACCCATAATGCAACACGGCGTGACGTCATCTCCACATTCCCTATTAGCAATCGTGACCTGCTTCATACCACAGTCATGTTAAAAACATCAATGTATGCACTCATCCAAAAACATTATTAGATCCATCAGCATGACGACAAGTTCCATAATTCCACTTATGCGCATCAACCTACGCCTTTGTTATTGTAAGAGGTTAGCGGCGAAAAAAATGATATATTGTTGCTTGAACAATAACAACACTGATTTGACATCTATTTCCTCTTTAAAAGATATTCTTTATCCAATTCCTGGAGCTATTTTGTTCTCCAACATCACAAAAACATACTTTTTAAAAAGTAAATGAATGTATGACAGTTCCAGCACTCTAGCAGAAGTAGAGCAAAGACTTCTGTATTACTTTATTGCTGCCCTGGTTTATGTACTCCACATGTTCTGAAAAGTTGAGGAGGGAAGAAGATCAAAACATTTTTCAACTCACTTTCTTGGAAAATATGTGTTAGGATGATACTCTGCTTCTGGTTGAGGTCAGAGTGTGTATTTGGCTATGTGCACACTGGCTTCTGAGCAATGACGCAATCAAATATTCAAGATTATGGGGGACCAAATGTAATAGTTGAAAACAATACTAACTGTTCCATTGAAATACTACTATTCTGAATATTGGCAGATTCCCCCTTTATGCCTGTGGTGGTTATGGTCTCTATTGTTTTTAATTACAGTAAATTGTATTTTATGTATTTCACTTAAATAGTTTAGAAATAGACCTGGCTCTCTTTCTCGATGTGGTGGTTGTGGTGTGAACGCCTCTGTGATCTGACCCTGGCCCTTGTATATGTTGTCTTTTCAAAATAAAATGAAGACTAGTTATAGTTGTCTCTGTATATTAAACAAAAATTGGAGTATTGCAATGTATATAAAAAAGATATACTTCACCTTTAACTGATTGAGGAGGTGTCTAAACAATGTATTTCCTTCTTTTTCTTCCTCATTTCTCTTTCTTCCTCCTTGTGTGCTGGTCCTTGAAGCAAGCGAAGCGCCTAGCTACATGAGACTGACCTGCAGTGCAGAGGCTTCACCAGAAGAGGGCGTAGAACACACTTTACACACTCATAACTGATTCAAGAGGGACTTAGTATTTTAAAACACTTGGACTGAAACTTGGCTTGAGCTTTGTGGTGGTTGATTGTGTGGATGTGTGTGTGTGTATGTGAGCATGCATTTCAAAATGTAGAGGTCTATGCCAAAGTTGTTCACTATCACCTCTACTTTAACAAACGGCTGTTTACATACGACTTCCTCTGGATCCAACTATACTAAGACATGTGATCACCTATTCACTCTCTCTGCCCTCCCGATAAATGATATATTCCTATTTAGATTTAGTGGGAGGACAGGGAGGTTTGCTTTTCTACATTAATACTAAAGTATATATTTGTACTACTGAAAATTGTGAAAGATGGCAAATGCATTAGAAGCATGTTCTACATTATGTGTCAGTGTGAAATGCTTCTCTGAATAATACCTTAATATGTTTGCATTTGTCATGTCTATCTCTGGGCTGTTTAAGGAATCATGTTTTCAAATAAAGCTAGTTTCAATAACTGTTTAAATAAACATTGAAGTGTTTACATGCTGGAGGACAAGATTTAAAAGGATAGTTCAGCCAAAAATGAAAAACCCATTCCAAACCACTATGACTTTGTTTCTTGTGTGGAACACAAAAGGAGACATACTGATGAATGTTCACACTGTTCTCTCCTGTATGTTGAAATATCAGAAAAAGTTTTTTAAAAAGCACAGCAAAAGTATTATAAGTGAGCCATATAATAATAGTTTTACAGTAAAATTATAATTCATTTATGGTTGTCTTAATACTTTTGCTTTCAAACAAACCATGGAGCTTTTATTTCGGTGGTAAACCACCAGGGGAATTTAAAGCTTCTCTTTTGTTGGCAACAGCCGCCGCCTTACACATTTAGAGAGATTGTTGATGCGTGTTGTGTTCCAAATGCATGTTATAAGCGCTTAGCGCTCTAAACAGTTTGTGTAGACCAACATTTCCTGCGAACTAAGCTGCTGAAACCACTGGATCATGAGCTGCTTGCGTGTAAATATACACAGTGCTGCGCTTTAATCTGAAACACACTGTGCATGCATTTATTAAATTAATTCACAGCCTTTGTGATTTAATAATAACACTAAGTTTTGATTTGGTTTCGATTAATTGTGAAGCCCTACTTCTGAAGCCATATGATGGGTTGTGTGATGACCAGAATGAAATTTAAATCATTAGTCACGGAAAATCTTGTTTGACAGCTGTGGTCTCTTCATTTTCAACGTATGGAAAACAGCAACTTGAACATTCTTCTAAATATCTCATTTTGTGTTCCACAGAAGAAGAACAAAGTCATACAGGAGTGGAACAACATTAGGTCGAGTAAATGATCACAAAATGTCATTTTTTGGCCAAACTACCCCTTTAATTCCTAGTTACGCCTGTCCTGTCGAACAATGCCTAATTGTACAAAAATGGTTAGCTTGAACAAGAACGAAAATGATATGCTTGAACAAGTTAGAAAGGTGAATAAGACAACACTAATGCTAAGCCACTGAAGTTCTGTGTTCCAGAGCTTGAGCGCTGATGCCAGCTGGCAAACTCATCAGATCCTTAATCTTTGGTTAACACGTCCATGTAGGCAGCTTCTGCCCCACTTTTCAGCTCTACTTTCTGCAGATCTCTGGTTCTCACATTCCATTTAATTTGATCACACCATCAAGGCCAGATTTGTACGTACAACCTGCCCCCTTGAAAGCCTTTACCAACCAAAAATGCATCTACACTACCCCCAACCCCCCCTTTTGTGTGTGTGTGTGTGTGTGTGTGTGTGAGTGGATTGGATGGATCAAGCAACTCTGATATATTAAAGTGAGAAGCAGACAGGTGTTCTGATAATGATTTGTCTCTAACCCCACCCACTCAAAAATCGAAAAAGAATCTCCATCGCCTCTGGCTCTTAAGACTTTTTTCTCCCTCTCCTTCATTTTTTGATTGTTATGATTGCTGTGCGTTCCTACGCTGTTCAGCCTGCAGGCGGGGTTGGTTGGTACATGTCAAGGTGCTGAAGTATGCAACGTGGACAGCAGCCCTTTTGCTTATTAATAACTGTAATAATTGTGTGCTTCATCACCTGCAAGAGAGACCCTGTTGCACACCGTCACGCTTTAATGTGCTTTTCCCACTGAATAGACTAATTTCTCAGAGCAAACACATCAATAATTGGCTGGAGATTAACATGAATAGGTTTTGTTTACCAACGAGTTCAATGATTTTTTTTGCTGATCTTCTAGACTTTCACACGTGCTTGCTTGATGAACGGCTCTTTCAGTTCTTCATAAGTGAATAAATGAGGTGTGCAAAAGGGAGAGGAGTTAAAAAGGATTTAAAGAGCATATCTGAGTGAGTTTCGGCATGCCCTCTCAGCTACTTGCTATCTTCAAACTGATACTTACCTAATTATACACACACACATGCACACACTCGCATGCACGAAAGGAAATTCGCATACAGTCTTCTTCCCACCCTCTATCTCTCGCCCCCACCAAACTAACCCTCCTAACCGACCGCCTGCTATCCACTTGCAAAGTACTGCTGTTGACACACAGGAATCCAGACACGCACACACACATGCTCTTTCTCCCTCCTTGGCAGGAAGGACTCTCCTCTGAACCAGACGACTGCTTGCGCCTCTCTCCTTTTCCTCTGCTGGCAGGTGTTAGAAATAAAACCATAAATAAGTGCAAGAGGGAGCCAGAGACAGCGCGAGAGAGGAGGACAAATGTCTTTCTGCATTTGTTGCTGTAGAGAAGGGGAAATATGAGGAAAGGGGAACGATATGGAGGAGAAATCTGTATTTTTTAAGTAGCTAGAACAGTTAGTAGGGTTTTATTTGCTTACTGTCAACTGTATTTTTGTGTCTGAAGGGGATTGAAGTGAACACTTGGATCATCTGGGCTCAAGCCACAGCATGCTGACTGAGTTATAGAGCAGCTGAGGGGAAACAAAGTAGCCGAGAGGAACACAAGGCAGTCATGGACACTATAACACCTCAGCCACAGTCCTGGATGACTTGGATTTGCACACTGGAGTTGGACCCCATCCAGCCCACAGTCCACTGATACAAATGAGGTACTGGCTTTCTGTAAATCAAAATCTGTGGAATTTTTAGATGATATCACCACATTGTTCTGGGGAAAGACTGTGTACTTTGTGTTTATGAGGAATATTTATATATGCAGTTGACCAACAGTCTGAGACCACATAGAAATTCTATCCAATTATTTAATCCAGGGAATAAATGAAAAGTAATAGGATTTCGAAAAATTGAAAAAAATGAAACAATGTGAAGTGAAATTAGGAAGAAATATTTCAGAATCTGCATCATTTTTGCGTCATTTAATCAGGTAAATTTGATAATGTGAGCTTTGTACAGATGGTCAGATGCTCTTGCTTCCATCAAAGCTCAATATGCTTTTTGGATAATCTCAAATCATGCTGGAGAAACATGATCATTAGGTTTTACTTAAATTTTCAGTAGAAGTTCAATTATAACTTTACTTCAGCTCCCAATTGCTGTTCATATATAATTTATTGTGAATCTTAATGAATATTAATTATATTTAATATGATGTATATATAATAAAAACATTGTCTAGTGATCTCAGACTTTTGGTTTGCCTTGGTTATTAACTGTTCAAAGAAGTGCCTGAGCCTACTGTCATTTGTACACATTGTGCTGCCAACAACAAAATGATCACTGCTTCCTGTTAACTGTGTGACATGGTGAATGTTTAAGGTCACATAAACTTAGGTCATTTATACCTGTCCCGCTGGGTTTTGCGTTGTACTGCCAGACCATTTTGAACAGATGCTCATGTTTATGATGTTTTGATTTGCACATCTGACACTCATCACCTGTATAGACAAATCTCATGATACGCCTGGGATATGGTCCAGTTTATAAAATCCTGATAGAGCAGGCGCAGGCAGCAACACTGCCCTCCAGCCCTGCTAACAGACACAGTCAGATGCAAATATGCCCGTGCTGCACGATCGCTTGCAAGCTACTTAATGTTGCATGCATAATAGTTCGATAGATTGAGCAGGATATGACCCTTAATATTCTACTGCTGCAGGGAGCAGAGATGGTAAGTGTGTGCATGCGTGAGCTTCTGTTGATGTGAGGGGCAGGTGAGTGCATGTCTGGAACACACTGTAAAAGAACTGCACATGGATAGATGGCAGGAGTGCAGTCATGAACTCAATGAGTCAGGGACAGGGTGTTTTACTGTGTGAAGCAATATAGAAATGTTAGTTGGGGAGCCTGAATTTTGACTTTTTTTTGTTGGGCTTTGTGTTGGTCAGTTTTTTCTCATGCATCTTTCTTTTTTTGGCAGTGGATTTTTGTTGATATAAATTGGTTTCGCTCAAATAAACAGTGAATTCTATTACTGATTGACATAGGAAAGAGGACATGCGTGTTGCTCTTTCAGAGATTATAAAACTTAATGTTCTTGGTTATGTTTCATTTAAGTATTAACTTTGTTCTAGATCGATTCCTTAGGAGAATAAAAAGATCTGGCACAAATGAGATCATTATTGATGTACAGTAAAAGAGTATGAAACTAATAAGCTATAAAATATTTATGGATAGCAAAGTCCAGATAATTTGCTCTTGGATGAGTTTGATAAGAACAGTTTGAGTTCATGAAATCTGACTTTTCATTGCATGCTTTCTTGTCAAATATGTGCCTTGATGAGATCTTTTCTGAAACATTAGATGAGACAGGAGTTTAATAGGATGTTGTATTTGAAGAAAAAACTATTATTTTATTTTAGTTATTGTACTAGTTTATTTGAATATCTTTTGAATATCAAAAATAATTAGTGTTATTCTGGTATTATTTATATACTATTATAGTATAGGTTTTGAAAAATATTTCTATTTAGCTTTATTTTTTGTAATTTTAGTTCTTAAACTTTTGCCAAGGCATCATTTCTAATATTTTGTCTACGTTTTCTTATACACTGATTGGTTTATGCCATGTGTGCAGCATGTGTTTTGTAGAGTGTTTTCTTTTCTTTCTGAGAGGGAGGGTGCGACGTCCTCTTTATGACCTAGCACCTGTCTGATGGAAGGCTTTATGTTCTACTCTACACTGCTGTGCGGGAACAGAAATTATCCTGACTGCCCAGACGAAATTATTGAACGGCTGAAATCTTACAGCTTTAAACTGGCTTTATAACATCCGATTTTAGGTAATTTGCCTGGAAACGGAGACTCTTTTAAGATGGGTCATGAGTGAATGCCAACATGAGGATGTGGGGTTAACAAAAAAGTATCATGTCACAATAAAATCTCCCTGCCTTATTCTTCCTCATCCTGTATAGCTTCAGAAACCATTGTCTGCATGTGCTGCATCATACCATTGGATGTGTAAGAGATATCCTTTTGGTATTGAGAGTGATTATCCCATACAAATATGGGTCTTTTTTGAATGGAGTGAGATCGAGTGATTTTTTTTTTTTTTTTTTCATGCACTCAGACTGGATGGACCTTGTGTACTAGATGAATTGTCTGAAACTCTTCCCTATTCTCCACTGACATCTATTGAGACCTCTGAAGACATTGAATTTTGTAAGCTTTTAGGATGTATAATTGAGCATGGATGGATCCCACAGGGTGTGGTTTGATGGTGCTTTGCTTTAGTCAACATGTTGCTAGATATGAACATCAGAGAGACAGTGGGGGCGGCCAGACCCTTGGAATGTCTATCGTAACCTGCGGCTTGCCGCTCCTCCAGCTCGGCCGTGCCAGTCTGTGTGTGTTTGTATGACTCAATGCATTCTCAAAGTTCTCAGCCGGTTTGGATTGCTCATATGCTGGTAGAGATGAGAACAGATTGGAGGGGGGCAATAGATGGCACAGGATGTTTTGTAACAATACAACTAAACTGCTATGTGCACCAGGAAAATATGCTGTTTTTCTCACGCTTTAGTGTAAATGACAAGACATGACATTTTTTTTGTCATTAATTGATTCAAAAATACATTTAAAAAAATTAACAAAAACAATTAAAATAGCCATTTATACATGACTTGAATATACCTCTTATATTATAAGCATGTTTGTAATTTCTGAATGAAAAATTAATTTTGATGTTTTTTATTATATAAATGAAAAAACAAAAAACATCAGGGTGATACTTTCCGAGGATCATATTGAAGAAAAAAATGCCTCATTAAAAGAAAGAAATTCCTGAAAATAAAATGTAGTATAATCTTTTATAAGTATTTCTTAGATTTTTAAAAATATATATTTTAAGAAATGTTTTACAAAACTTATTTTCTTTATAAATAATGTTTGTTAAAATATTATTAGTATTATTATTTTAACTTAAAATATATTATTATTATTTGAAAAAAATGTCCAAGTTAAAGTGATGTGTTGTGAATCAGCATGCAGAAACAAAAAATTTTTAAACAAAAAAAAATATGATTTGTACTCTCACGTTATCAAGGTGTATGGAAAATGTTTATATGGTAATATTACTTTTTTGAGGATGGTTATATCGCATATTCGACATTTTTGCGTGACACTTATTTACCCTATAAAGCAAACTGTAACTCCTCTCTCCCTCCCTCCCTGCCATCATTTGTCCTGCGTAAGGAGCACCTGCCCCATCACCTGTCAGTTGGAGGCAACAGGCTGATTCTGTATCTGCACCTACATGTACTAGAGCTGCAGTCTGGGGAAAAAGGACGCCATGCCACACCCAGTAATATTCCGTCCCCACTCTTTGCATGCAAAAACGTTCTCTCCTCACTTACCCTCATTTAGCTTGTCGAAGTCAGGTCAACAGGGCCACTCGGGGTGGAATGGGTATCTAAAGCCCCTTCACTCAACTGTTAGTCTTACTGGCCTTAAAGGGCTTGTAGGGGCTAAAAAAAACAGCAGAGCTCACCTGCAGAATGAACAGATGGTGAAGGAAGAGGTTTGGGGAGCAATAAGAACAGACCTTGTTTGTGTGACTGCACGCTATTAGTGCCTCCCCCAATGGTCAGCACAGATAGGATGCAGCCACACAAATAAGGCCTGTTCTTGTTGCGTGAGCTCAGACAGACGAGACTCTTTGTTTGTTCTCGGGTACAGCTTACTGGGCAATTTAAGTGGAATGACAGAAGCGCAGTTATTTGGGGAATGTGGAAAGTGTCAGATCTTTATTGGGAGTGGGGGTCGGCCATGATAATGAACTTGCTTTTCTTCGGCTCACAAAAGGCTTAATGGTTAACCATTTTTATTGTGTCCTCATTTTGCCTTCACAAACAGTCCTTGGATTTCAAGACTTAAACTATAGAAGAAAGTTTAAGTGTGGTTAGTGTGATTGTTGTAGTGTGTTGGAAGGCACTAGCACCATTTGAAGGAACTTTTAGAAGTTTATGGTTTAAAAACGCAAGAACCTAGGCTACGTCTATAACAGGCTATTAAATTGCCAAAAAAAAAAAAAAAAAAAAGCCTATTAAATTAAGATGCGTGGATATTTTGACATATTTTTTTGTACATTAAATATGCTTGCACAAATGTATGTCAGTGTTTTAGGAGTTTTGTTTTTGTGTGTGGTGCACATGTTTGTGTTTGTCTATGAAAAGTGATCCTGAAAAAGCCAAGCCCTACAGGTATGTGTAAAAGGCCTTTCTCTGGCTTCGCTCTATGCACACCTGTTTAGCTACGCAGCCTGCAGGCTTTTTCACGAGCCCTGTTGGCTTGGACCTACTGTGAATAAAATCATTTGTGTTTTTATTTGATTACATGTATTGAACTGAATGCAGTCTCTCAGAGAAAATCTTGAGGAATACCAGCAATGAAGTTTTAAAAAAAACTTAAGACCATTTATAGATTAAAATGATTATGTCTGCATGTTACAATGTCACAAACCTTTATTGTCGTCTCCTGCATGCATGGTCAGTCTAAAGGTGTAAGCAGTGTACAGATCACATTTCAAAACAAGCTGCTTCGAGTGACTAGTCTTTACCTGTCCATATAATAAAGCAGAGGGAGGGGGAGGGGGGAGCATTCGCCTGGCTCAGTTCACCTCCCGAGCAGCGACTGAAAGAAAACAGGAAGTTGAGTGTGAATGAGTGTGACGTGAATGGAACGGTGAAAGTAGGTCATTGTTGCAATGGGACACAAATTTAGCGGCACAGTAAAGAACTGATTGAGCTGTATAAATCTGGCAAATATCAGCAGGACTACTGAGTGCAGTGATGCAAATCTAGTAGTAAATCATTATGATACTGTGACTGACAAACAGTTGTTTTCACAACCCATTTAACTTTCATAATCTGATGTATTTCTAAGTGTAAAATGTAGGGTGGGGCTTGATTTTAACCCATTGGGAATCGATTGGACACACCGGAGCTTGACACCAGAATTGAGACAGAACGAAGGCAAGTTAGCTACAACAATAGCTATTTGGCTATTGTTTAACATTATCCAGTAAGTGACGTCGACGGACAATCAAAATCATTTCGTAAGAAGAGTTATTATGTTTTGATTAAAGATCGTGAAGACAAACTATTTTTGTCTTTGGAATAACATGCACTGAGGAACTGATTAATAAAGTAATTAGGGTCAATTTTGATTTTACTTGACATTAAGCACTTTTACTTAGGAGATTGTCTAAAAGATTTTTGTTGATGCTTAATAAATTCCTGTAAAGAGCCTGTTGCTACTTATATTATTTTCTATTAAATGATCATTATGCTCATTAACACAATAAACTGTGCAACTCTCTGCAATTAAACTTCCAAGTGGCTATCCAAACATAAGTGGACTTCGGTTAGTGTGAAGTGAGGTGGTTCCTGCTTAAAAATGCAGCATTCAAAGCACTATATATAGTTTATTGTGTGTATAAAACTTAAAATCATCTGCACTCTCTACTGAACTGCAGCATGTGATAATAGTGCTTTGTTTCCACACTCAGCACTACTACTTGTGTGCATTTCGCTCCTGTATTTGACAGGGTGTGTCCGATATGGGAGGTGTTAAAGTTGAAAGAAGGTGAGTGCACAGATGTCCTAAAGGTGTGGTTTCTTTAAGATGAGACCATGGGGTTCAAGGTGGTCTGAACAAGCTCGGCTTGCTAGAGTAATACCTTAAACCAGGTATTGTTACACTTATGGGCTTCTCTCTTGCTCTCTCTCTGTTGTGTTGTTGTTGAGATGGTTGAGGGCAATGTCAATGCTTTGTGAATGTGAAAGGGGATTTCGCTGTCTGTCTTGATGGAGTAGGTGGAGGAAGGCCTCAGGCACTTTGGGGGATCAGGCCCCACACCAAACACAAACAAAGAAGTGTTTTTCCCCTCCAGATGTCCTAACTTACCCCACCAGAATTGAAATGCTAGGCCTACTATATAAAAATCTCAACAATGAATTTGCATCTTTTGTTCTAGAATAATACTTTTACACATGAGGTGTCCATTATAATGTCATCCATTATATAAAGGAAAAATTGAACACATTAAACATTATTTTTTAATGATTTATTTTTTAAGCTACTCTGCTGCCCTGTCTAGTTTCAAGAGTAAGGTATCATACCTTTTGAGTTTAAGGCCACTTCATGACAGGAAACTATTAAAGAAATAGTTCTCTTAAAAATGAAAATTCTGTCATTATTTACTCACACTCATGTTGTATCATAGCTGTATGCTGTTATTTACCATAAAAGGAGACTTTCTGAATAATCAAAAAATATAAAACTTTTCTATTCATCTGAAGTTCGTCATCAAAATATTCAGGAACGACAATGAACAACAAGGATGAGTAAATAATGACAGAATATTTGTTTTCATTGATCTATCCCTTTAATCTTAATCTTTGACAAATAATGTCTATCTTTTATGTGTTACCACCTGCATCTTGCCATCAAGTTGCAGCAGCTGAAAATGAGCAGAGGCGTTTGAGTGTGAAAGGCAGATGCCATGATGCACCCTGGATCTGGGCTCTCTGTCACTGGCCAATTAGAGCAGCAGTGTCAGCCTGCTTCAGAGCAATATAACATACAAACAGAAGCCTATCACACCACACTGTTAGACCCTGTGCTCAAACAAGCAAATAATTCTAGAAATTAATAGGGGGGGGAAAATGTTGGGGGTTTTTTTTGTCTTGTTTGGTGTTTTCATTCAGGCTTTTAAAACTTTTGTAAAATTTATGTACAGTCATTTGTAAAAATTTATATTTATTTAACTGTAGGATTTAACTCGATTTAGTGATAGCTATATGCTATGAAAAAATATATATTCCGCTTTATTTCAAATGCAAACTATTAGTCCTAATATCAATTTTTATTGTTGACATTGCTGAATATATTTGTGGATTCATGTGGTTCTTAACAGTCTGCATGGGCTTTTGCAGCATTGGTTTCTTTAATCATAGCAACAATGAAGAAGATGGCAGTTTTCAATTCATTTACTTTGTTGACGCCCTGACTTACAGGAAGCCTCCAAAATTACAGGGAGAATGTATACAACAAAGACCAAAACATAAGGAAATAACATGTTGAGAACATGGAAAATTACATGGTGGATATTACTGAGAATTGTAAAATGGGCAAGACATCAAGTTGAATGTATGGAATAGATATATGGTAATGAACTGTAATGTAGTGTATTATTGAATTTGCTTTATAGTAATAGCTATGCACAGCGTTCACATGACTGTAGCTTGTACAGTACATTTGTGTAGCACAGTAAATTGTAATACAATTATATTTTACAACAGCTCCCAAGTTTTGCTTCCACAATTTGACCTATTTCCAAATGACAGGATATTCAACAAGAAAAACTGTAGTGCAGACGTAAATGTGAGTTTGCTAAAACATTGCCTGAATCGCAAATTGGCAATTGCTTTCATGATCTAATAGCACACACAGCCGTGACATGAGCAGAAAGGAAATGTCATTTCAGAGGATGAGAAGGTTATCATATGTTGATTATAAGACAAACTGAGAATACCAACTGACTTTTATTTCTCTGTGTGCATGTGATGAATCCAGATTCATTCCATAAATCTCACATCTCCTGTGCAACTAACAACATTCTGCATCTGGGGAAATAAAGGAACCTTTGTTTAGAGTATAGGGAACAGGTAACCATTTGTGCAGTGTGTTTTTTGGGTTTAGTTGGTACAGATGTGCATATATATATATTTTCAGGACAGAGGGTCATAGTACATGGTACCTGGGCTTTATATATATGTGTGTGTGTGTGAGTATGTTTGCTTGTGGATCATGTTAAATTCGTGCAGTTGGATTTAGCCATGTGTACATTCAGCTTTAAAAGAAAAACTGAGATGGGGGAGACTATAAATCTTTGTTTCCTCTCAGAAAATGTGCCGATTTGCAATAGGTAGTTTTGAAACTATTACAATAAACAATGATTTATTCAGTTTAAGTTTTACCTTTTATTTTCTGGTTCATAACATACAGACGCCTAAATTGCATGCAAGGTAGAGTTTAAGACACCTAGGGGCAACCCAACTAGCATCTTTAGGTGGATTTCATCTCCAAGTTTAGAAAACATCACTTTTTATTTCACGGGTCAGTGATTAAGGCAGATGTGGGTCATCAGCACTGACAGTTTGCTGAGGCTTCATTGCTTTAATAGCCCAGGAAATGTCATAGCTCAAGCTATCTTAGGCTTGGCTGTCCCTCAGGGCAAGACACTGAATACTAATAAGCATTGCTTCTCCCATGACCCAGATTTGTTTAGGTAAATAGAAAGCTGTTTGGAAACATGGGAAATATGCACGAAAAAAAAAAAACTCTTCCAAGGTGACATTCTCAGTAAGGTTATTTTTTGTGAAGCATTCCATCTCAGGTATAAGCTGCTATAGCAAGACTAGACACTTGCCCATTATCATAGTTTGAGAATTCGGAGTGTCCTCATGTGACTGACTTTGCTTCTCTAGTGCAGCTTCTGCATGAAGATGTTGTTTCGAGTAAGGGATCCAGCTGTAAATGATGTAGATAAGTATAGGGGTGTAGGGCTGCATGCTGCGCTCTTTAATTAGAACAGGAAGACGCATCAGCAGCGACTGAGCCAAGTCTGCCACGGGGGGGAAGAGCAGAGACTGTTCAGCGAGACTTAACTTTACCCAGTGGATCACCAAATCCATTAAGAACTGCAGAGATGAGCCAAGCTTTACTGTGCATAAATCTGTGCTGGCACAACAAAAACATTGGCCAGAGGGATCTATTCCTTTGTGCTGAAATTTGGAAATGCAGCATCTCTAAGAAACAATGGTTATGTGGGTACATGAGTTATAATACCTAACATTATTTCTGTCTGTTTTTGTTTCCCAATTGCTTTGCAGTACCCATGTCCCTCCTGAGCCATGCTCCCTGGCTATGGATTCTCTTCTCTTCTTGATTTCCAGCCTCACCTCCAAGCGTTCCATTGCAGAGGCGAGAGCTCTGACATGTGGTTCCCAGGCTCAGCTGAGGCCCAGGCTCTGAGTGACTCTCTGGAAGGTAGGCCTCTCCTGCGACAGCATCAGCACATTGCGGTGTGTCAGCAAGAGACATTGGCCTTCATTGACCTTCAACAGCCAAGCGTTAATGGTTTCCAATCACACACCCCGGAAAACTGTAGTTCCTCTCTTTGCTCCAATCCTGTCAGATGCAATGGAAGCAGTCCATCTGACTTTGCCAAGAATGGGAGTACAGACACAACACTGGACAATTATTTGACCCAGGATAGCAATAATGTGGAAGTGGCTCAGGATCAGATGTGGAAACCCATTACTGGCTTACCTGAGACCGTTTATGAAAACCCTGAACCAGAAGTTAAGGGTCTCTGCTCTCGAGACTTGTTTCTGCCTCTGTCCCCATATGCACCTGGGGACAGAAACTCTTTTGAGTCTCAGCAGCTGAGCTCCCCCTCTTCCCCCTTAGAGTTCCAAAGTCTGGACCCATTTCGCCCTCAAAGACGTACCTCTTTGGGATCCATAAAAGAGAAGTCCATAAGTAAGTGCAAACTCTCACTTAACTAAGTCTTGACACATTGGCCCTACATTCCTGTTTTAAACAATAAATAGTTTGTCACAGTGCACAGTTTTTCATCACTCTTAAAACTGTATGGGAGTTTTCGGATAGATGATTATTCTTAGTGCAATCCTTAAAAGCATACTAATGTCCTGTCAGATGTTTTAATACACTACAACAGTGGTTCCCAAGCCTGTCCCTGGAGGCTTCTCAAAACAATACACATTTTGGATGTTGGAGTCTCTACTAATGAGTTGATGAGTTGAATAAAGTGTGTTTGTTTAAGGAGCTGTCCAAAATCTGTTCTATTGACAGGCCAATAAGAACAAGGTTATGTACTACTGTGTTAAAGTGATTGTGTCTGTTAAAACTACATGTGAATGTAAAAAGTGGATAGTACCTTTTATCATGTTCCTTGTTGATAATAGGGCGTAGGATGAGGGTGTACTCTCCAGACACTCTGAGTGATGAGTCTCTCAGCAGCCCAGGTGTGGAGTGTGATTACCTGCTCCCAACATCCTTTGAATCGTTCGTAGAAGGAGGGCTTGGCATGGTGGGCTCTACTATCCCCACATCCCAAAATTCCAGCCCGCTCCCAGGGGTAGATGAGGACCTCTCTCTTCTTGCCACACCGACCTCTCCAAAGCCATTCTTAGATTTCCCTCAAGAGGTTGCCATATCAGAGGGGGGTGTAAATGATGGGGGGAGGCAGAGGTTGGGCCTAGAAGACTGCAGAGCCCTGGAAGGCCCTGCCCTCAACAGTGGGACTTCACTACCCCTGTCCCATTCTCGTTCAGCAGACAATGAGCGCCGGCGCTTCTCTGCTTCTGAGCTCATCTCCCGCCTGCAACTCTCCCAGAGGAAAAACTCTTTTACCCTTAAGCTGGGCAAGTCTCTTTCTGCTCGTGTGGCCTCCCGGGACCGCCACCTGTCTGGAAACCTCAGCTCAGACTGTAAGTGACTCATCAGTACTGATTAGCTTAATGAAAGACTTTATTGTGAAAGTCTTGTGCTGTGATGTCATTATGACACTTCAGTGCTATATTTTCAGCTCTATCCCTTTTTGTAAACCTTCTCCCTCCCTTGTCTGTTTGTAGACAAACCCAACTCCAGACGTTGCTTCTCAGGGGGATCAAGTGACACTGCACCACATAGTCCGGTGGGGTCTGCACCGCCACTGCCCTCTGCTGACTGTAATCTGCCACTGCACAGGAGGAGTTCAAAGCAAAGGTGGCTCTAAAACTCAGCTAGTACCCACAAAGAACAATGTAGTGAGTAGAATATTACAAATTCTGTTTTAACATATTTTCTACTGTTTTTTTCACAGGATGAGAAAGGTTTCCATTGATGAGGATGGAGGCAGTCCTCCCAGCAGCTCTAAACGTCTATCACGATTCTTGCCGAACTGTAAGACCAATAAATAAATAATCTGGAATTTTATATATATATATAATGTATGTATGTACATTTATATTATTTATTATATTTTAGTATCATTTACCATTTTTCTCTTCCTCTCTCTCAGTGATTTTGTATCAGGAATACAGTGATGTTGCTATCAACAGAGAGATTCAGAGGCAGCAGGGGGCAGAGCCAGGAACGGATGAAGAAAGAGGGGACTCTGTGTCCCCAGGCAACCTCTCGCCATCCAGCTCATTCCGCTCATCACGAGGCTCCGCCTTTTCCCTTTGGCAGGATATTCCTGATGTTCGGTCCAGTGGACAACTTGACAACTTCAGCAATGAAGAGCGTAAACTGCAGGAGGTGACTCCACTTTCAGAAAGTCTGTGGGTTTTTTAATCAACCAGCAAGTTTTGCTGAAAAAGAAATAATTAATTTTTTTCTTGACTTTTCAGGCCAAGTTTGAGTTAGTGACATCAGAGGCCTCATACATACGCAGCTTGTCTATTGCAGTTGACCATTTTATGATGTCTCCTGAGTTGTGTGAGAGTCTTGGGATGCAGGAGAGGCAGTGGCTCTTTTCCAAACTGCCTGATGTGAAGGAAGTCAGTGAGAGGTGAATAAAGATGAAGAGTTCTACAATTTTTGAAAGAGTGGGCCTTCTGCTGAGATGTGCACAGTTGAAATCCCTGTTTTTGTCTCTCTCTCCCTTTCAATTCTCCCTATGCCCATAGGTTTCTTCAAGATCTAGAGCATAGGTTAGAAGGGGACATTTTGCGTTTTGACGTGTGTGACATTGTCTTTGACCACTGTCCTGCACTGCGGAGGGTTTATCTGCCTTATGTCACCAATCAAGCTTATCAGGAAAAGACCTATCAACGGCTACTGTAAACAGTCTCTTACTGTAAAAAAGTTCTCTAACAAGCATAATAATGTGGATGTTGCAATTATTGCCCTGTTTAAGAGGTTCATACATTTGCGTTGTGGTGTTTTCTTAGGCAGGAGAATCCTCGTTTCCCTGGAATCCTTGCTCGCCTGGAAGAGGACCCAATATGCCAGAGGCTGCCTCTTACATCATTCCTTATCCTTCCTTTTCAAAGGATCACACGACTCAAAATGCTAGTGGAGGTATTCCATCATGGACAGTGCACAATCTCTATCTTTTCAAATGTTATCTTATAAGTTGAAAGCTGTCATCAAGCTTTAGAACCAGGCTTACCAATTTCATCAGTTAAACATGGTTATCAACCTTGTCCATGTATAGAACATCCTAAAGAGAACAACTCCTGGATCACGAGATGAGGACACTGCCACCAAAGCACTTAATGAGCTCAAAAAGGTGAGTAAAGCAGGAGAAGAATTTATAATTGTCACAAACAATGTTTTAAAAATCATGAAATGAAAACTACCTGTGCTCTGCTGCACTAGATAATAAAGGAATGTAACTCCAGTGTGCAGTCCATGAAGAGGATGGAAGAACTAATTCATCTAAACAAGAAAATTCACTTTGAGGGCAAGGTATTACATCAAGCATTTATTGTAATGTTTAAGTAGATATGTATAATATATCATGCAGGGGTGTTAGGGCAGTCGTGGCCTAATAGAGAGTCAGACTGTTAACCCGAAAGTTGCTGGTTCGATTCTCAATATCGGCAGGAGATGACTTGGGTGCCATTGAGCAAGGCACCTAACCCCCAATTGCTCCCTGGGCGCCACAGCAAAAATGGCTGCCCAAATGTGTGTCCAAGGTTTGCTGTGTGTGTGTGTGTGTGTGTGTGTGTGTTCACTAATCCTAATGTGTATGCACTAACTTGGATGAGTTAAATGCAGAGGACAAATTCCGAGTATGGGTTACCATACTTGGCCTACACATGTCACTTTCACCTATACTTATATCATGCAGGAGTGTTATACAGCCGTTTTTATTTATTTATTTATTGAGGGGCCAAATAAGACATGACCATAGGGGACCATTTGTAAGTGAAGTGTGTAATTGAAAGGTGAATCTCAATTTGAGGGTCTACATTTTTAACCTACAATAATGATTCTTTTGTAAAATTCTATTTATTTTATTTTAGATTTTCCCTCTCATCTCTCAGTCTCGTTGGCTGGTCAAACATGGTGAACTTCTTGAAGTGGACACACAGAACTTGAGTATATCTGGGTCTAAGTTTAAACTCACCACTCGTCCTGTGTACCTTCACCTGTTTAATGACTGTCTTCTGCTGTCCCGGAGGAAAGAGTAAGTATAATGGGATGGGAGAGACCAATGTCCAATGTAATATTTGAATCAAGCAAAACCATTTGAAAACCCTGTGTAAATGACACAAGTCTGCTACAAAATTTTTCCCTTCTCTTTCCTGTCACAGCTCATGGAAGTTCATGGTGTTTGTACATGCAAAGATTGAAGACCTCAAGGTAAAAGATCTAAGCCAGAAACTTCAGGGAATCTCAGGATTCATATTCTACCTGCAGTTATGTGAGGGGCAACAGCTAAAACACCAGATTCTGCTCAAGTCACCCACAGAGTGAGGACATTCACATAATTCGCAAATATTAACATATTTGTCAGTGACAAAATCCTGTCACTGACAAATAGATCTGAGTGTTCCTAGAAAATGAGCCACACCAGGAAATGTATTCCCACAGGATGCATAAAACGGAGTCAAGAACGTTTTGTTTTATATGTAGGAGCAGCAAACAGAGGTGGATCACAGCCATGTTTACCTCGGACCCAAAGGCAGCCATTGACCAGACCAATGAGAATGATGGTGTGTAATTTCTTTGTCTCACTGTTGTCATGCAATTCAGATTTAACTACATTTAAAATTGAACACTTCTCTAAATGGCATGTTAAAGATGAATTGTGGCTGGTTGCATTTGGTGGTTCATGGCCAGGTTAAGCCGCAGTGTGTACCAGATAGTCCAGATACTTTATGATGATAATAAAAGGGGCTGTTTTGCCTGACATATAAAGTCATCAGCTATTTCACTGACACAACATTGAAAACACAGTGGAATATACAGTTCTGCTCAAGAATATCCTGTTTACTTGTGAACTAAGTGCCTCAAATAAAACTCTTAAAAGGCATAGTTCACCCAAAAATGGAAATTCTCTCATCATTTACTCACCCTCATGTCTTTTAAAACCTGCATGACCGTATTTCTACTGTTAAACAAAAAATGAGGTACTTTGAAGCTTCTTTAGATGGAACAACATACAATGAAAAAGACTTAAAAAAAAACTTGCCTTGTGGTCCTAAGACTTTTGCATACAAATCATTTGGGATACTCCTCCCAACAATTAGTTTTCTCAGATTAACACAAATGAAGATTTTTAGAAAAATAATAGAAAAATATTTTTCTAAAAATCTTTGTTTGCGTTCCACAGAAGAAAGAAAGTTATATACATGCGAGACAGCATGAAGGTGAGTAAATTATTAGATATTTTTTGTTTTTGGATGGAGTATCCCTTTAATGTTTCTATGCATGTGTCTGTACAGATCTATCTCAAGTCCAGTGCATCAAGAGCTACCAGTCACAGGAGCATGATGAGTTAATGCTGGAGAAGGCAGACATCCTTCAAGCTGTAACAATTACAAGTGATGGTATGAACATTTTTTTCCCTCGTCCTGGCTATACTCCATTTTTCCCTTTGAAGAAGAGAAGTGGGAGGACTGCAGAAGAGATAAATGAAATTTTAATGTTTTCACTTCACAGGGTGGGTAGAGGGGATTCGGTTGTCGGATGGAGAGAGGGGCTGGTTCCCCAGATCTTACGTGGAGGAGATCACAAGCCGCAGTGCTCGTTTGCGAAACCTCCGTGAAAACATTCGCATTAAGTGTGTCTCACAAAAATTAGAGGGAGAGACTCTCTGAGACCTTGAAGTATGGGACATTGTTTTACTTAAAGCTTGTATTTCAAGATTTTTACCCCCCCTCGGTTGAAATCGCGGGAGCCCCCCTAAAGCCAGGGGCCCCTAGAATCGTCACCACAATTCGTCCCGCTTGCGACGGCCCGGAGCATATGGTGCTGCACTTTCTGACAGCCCACACACGGACTCTGCTTAAAACATAGCTGTCCCAGGCTCACCATGTGGGTGCACAAAATCTGGATATATAAGCTGTTAAAATGTTTAGCAAAATAACAAGTTCCAATTTAAATGGGTTAGTTTTAGGTGGTATAGCAACCATTTCACTCTCAAGTGTTTTAAGGACTTCTCTTCTACCTAGTGACTAGATAGTTTAATAAACTGAGATGTCTTGATGTTAGCTGATTCACCGAACAGACACACAGTAAAGCTAAATGCTTGCTTTTACTAGTGAAACATTGAAACCAAATTGTGGACTTTTTGAATGATGTTGCTGTTGCAACGTTTGTAAATATTACTTTATGCCGCTAGTCTTCTGTAGATGATCATTTACTTAATAGTATTGGTGTAATAACAGGAAGTGTACTGTCAAATTATGACCATTATTTATGTCAGTGATTCTGCTGTTTGCTTGTGAATTTGTTGTTTTGGTAACGCAGATTTTTTTGGGGCAATTTCTTTGTGGAGTACTGATTTCCTAAGAATGTTAAATCACATTGGAAAAATAATCCTTTAAGGTAACTTTGTAAATAAAAAATAAATGCATATATTCTAACTGAAAGTGTCTGTCTAAGACCAAAAAAAAAAAAAAAGGTTTTAGGTTGTGTGTAAAGTTGACCTTTATTCCCAGCCACGTATGCTCACAACTACAACAAAGCACGTCTCATAAACTTCAGTTTCATTCCAGGCTCACCTCATATCCCATGGGGCAATAAAGCAGCCGGGTAGCAGGTAAACAGAATAGTTTCTTTGTCACAGCTGTTCCCGAGAACCTTGAATGGTTTCCAACTGCTGTAAATCAGACGTGAAAAGCTGCAGAAAAGAAGCTGTAGTTAGAGACAGATAAGAGACGGACTGCAGAGGCCCAGGAATGCATTTCTAATTAAAGCCATTTATCTCAGTGAAACATTTCCTATCCATTTTATATAATGTGCTGTACAAAATGCATTCATGCAGATTAAAGTTACTTCTGCTATGGGTTTGCAACAATAATTAGCTACAGTATCATAGCCTCTTTAGCAATTTCTTTAGCAATTGGCTTAAGTTTGAGCACACAATGATGGAGTCAAGACTGCTTATAGGTTATACATTCTTTGTTTAATTTCACAAGTATTATGATAACGTTAATGTTATTTGTTATAAATGTATTACTAATGTTCACATACAGTGTAGGCATCTATTGTATTTTTATGAAATGGTAGAGATCGATCTTTTCTTCCATATTGCGAAGTAAATCCGAGTGAAACGGATTATCGAAAAAGAAATGTAGGGAAAGACTTGGTTCTTTTAGTAGGTTGTTGATTGTTTGCAGGAAGATCTGAGCTCAAAAAAGCACAGGTGAATTGATGACAATGAGATCAAGAAGATGCATTTAGAAAATTTAAGGGACCAAGCACAAGGGGGATATTTTTCGCTCAGACTACCAGCCAGAAGAACAGATGTCCACTTCGTATTATATACAGTATATACATAAAGTTGTCCATTATGATTTCCCGCCTCATGCTCACTGGTTTGAATCTCTTCCCTTTAGATTTCGTGCCATCTAGAATATTTTTTTTTTTCACTGCTACTCTTATCAATTCAATATCCAATCTTCAACAAAGTCTCTAAAGTCTCAAATCCCTATACGTTTCTAGATAATCTTCAGACCAAACCACACAGAGGTTATTGAATGGATTTTTGAGTATTAAGCGGCATTTTTTTTTAAAATAAAACCACAAGAAAGTCAGTGGCAAACGGGAAATATGGCTAAATCTAACCCAAAGTATCAGTGTATCGAAATTAAATTTCATAATTTTCTATACCATGCCTTGGGGATACATGATTTAGAGCTGACCATCTCTGCAGTCTTTAGATCCCTTGCATGATGAACATATTTCCAAAGTCTGGCATATTGCATGTGCACTGTTTTTAATTTGAATATGTCTTTGTGAAGTATGACAGCAGTATGTCAGTATGCCTAGGTATTGGCAACACACCAAAGCTATGTGTGGAGTGGGTACAAATTGTGGCTGGAAATCAAAAGGATGAAAGTTAAAGTCTGGCCTGGGGCGATCCTGAAGTCGTAGCCTACCTCTGCTGTTCTTGACTTAGTGTCTCGCTAGGTGCTGTGCAGGCTTGTAGACTTAACGATTTATTGTGGCAATGTATAATTGCTACATGCAGGCATATTCAATATTGTATATTCAAAAAGAAATAAAAGTTGCCTGAAAAATATAGAATCCTAAAGCAGCACAGACACTGATTAACATCCCGGTTGTAGCCTGGGATGTGTCATGTGATATGATGTAATTTTATTGTTTATAATTGATTGATATGTTGTATATTTTCCTCTTTTACTGTCTATGATATTTTCCTCTGCCGTCTTGATTGTTTGTAGACATTTAACATACTGTCCTCTGCTGACAGTAATCTGCAACAACACTCACTAGGCTTGACCAATAATACAATGACTGGATTGAGAACCCACGTTAGTTTCACTTTTTCAACTCTTTCATCATAATATTATGGTCATAGTATATAAACATTTACTTTGATGAAGATGATGGAGACATCCTAGTGGTTTAATATGCATATGGTAAACAAATAATTTGGTATCTCAGTGTCTGATAGGCCTAACGTTACATATTTCCCTGATCCTTTTTATTTCACTAACTGGTTTAATTAATCCACAAAATGTAGCCCTGGGTCTTCCGACACCATTCCTATAGTCTTTTGTTTTCAAGAGATTGTTTACGTAAACTGCACGTTTTGTGAAATTTTAAATAGATACCAAAAGGCTGTCAAGAGTCTCGTTTTGTCTTGGTGTCAAATCCCTAATTCATTCCCTACTTTAGTCAACTAATATAGTTCACATTGCTTACCTGGTAAGTTAAAGTAGTAATGAAACGATCTATCTTGAAATCGGTCAACTACCCTAACCGCAATCAAACAATTTATTATTTTAAGAGCAAAGGAAAGTAGGCTACACCTCTATGATTTTGCTGTGGACGCCATCTTCTGGCGAGACGCGGGAAGGTAAAACTTGGCATTCTGCCTGTTAATTTACAAGTTCAACTACTGCCTTCTACCTTACCACAGCAAGAGATGACATGAAGAAAGATAATAAGGGGTGACAGAGAGCAGGATAAACTAGTGAAGGAAAATATTAGTTACTCTCTGACTCCTGAGCTTGTCTGTTCTGTCCCATTGTCTGAAAAGTAGGAAGTTAATTACAAATTATATAATGTGAATCACTTGAATGCTGTTTATTGTTAGGGGGAAAAAAGGAGAAACGTTTCCACATTGTGGATAGTTTTAAAGATATTGCTGTTGAATGTTTGTTTAAATTGCTATTTTGTAGCCTAGTTGATGTGTATTCTGACAGTTTATGTAAAGATTCTTTAGCTCACAAATACAAGACCCTGGAATTAATTTATAATTAAAACAGTTTATTACATCTCACATAACCATTTATATTAATTTTATACATTTTCATACTTACTGTATTTGTGCATGTGTAAGGCCTGTTTTCTTTTCACTACCTCAGAAACATTAGGCTACTGAAATGGAGCAGAATGTCTAAACCTGTTGAGTTTCCTAGCTATTGAAGATTTTCCTCACAAGCAGTGAAGAGATTTGTTACTTATTAAGTAAATTGCAACAGTAAAATTTTCATTTGTCATCAGCAGCTTTCATTGGGCACAATACAAAAGTATTTTGATGTTTACAACATTTTAATCCCCATCCGTCATCATCCTCAGCTTCTGCGCTTCTTCGGTATCAGAGGTGGAGGGTTGTGATGTGGCAATGAATCTGCCACTTTATCAGGCTGTGGGAGATGGAAAAAAAGTATTCAAATTTATTGTATCAATACTGTTTAGGCTGCATTTACATCTCATAAAGTGTGGTAAACTCTAAAGTAATTAGTTTAATGATCATTATCTTGTCTTTAATGCAGAGGTTTAAAATCCAAAGACTGCAGTCTTGCCTGTTGTAACTGGAAGATCCAGCTTTGATAGTCCTCAGGGTAAATACAGGAGACAAGCAGAGGCTCCATCAGTTCACCTGGAAAATACATCACTCCAGATCAGCATAAAGATTATAGGCCGACAACAGTTTAGAAAACACACTTGTGTAAAGTTGGTACAGTATGTGGCTTGAAGTCTGTTAGAAAAGTGCATAAGAACTGAAGTGGCCAACATTAATCACAGCTCCTATTTTTTTTTTAAAGGCTTCTGATCTGGTCAGTTCTATAACTTGGTGTAATGACATTTTTTAAATAATTCAGGCGATAAGAGGAACATTGAGAAGCCAGTCTGAGTGTGTTTATCATCACATGGCTATTTTCTGAAGGTGAGTCACAAGCATCTGACTACCACATCACTTGATTTCTGACTTCTTAGAACAACAAATCATGCAATGTATCCAACTTTGGCTTTCTTAATGTTTATGAAAGACCAATATATGATAATAAATAGTATATCCTACTATACCCACATCCAACAGCACAACTAAGAAGTAACCCCAATGGTTTGATATCATGCAAGAGTATTTCCTGGGTTCTCATGACAAGTCATAGTAAAATGACTGGCATGACAGATAAACAGCACTGATGTGTGCTTAAAAAGAGTACAGATCATTACCACAGACACAAACGCAGGGTGTGATGTAAGAAGATATACATACCACTCTGTGACAATATGTGCTGTCCAAAACAGAGCCAAAGCTGCACATTTAAACTGCTCTCCCGTAACCCATCGGTATATTAAATATATTAAACTTAAATGATTTATATTACTTACAATTTAGAGGTTATGTCCAAGTGTTGTGTTGGAATATGAGAGTAATGTATTTGTCCAGAAAGGTATACCTGTGAGTTCAAACTCCAGTCTGCCAGGTAGTGCCGATCTTTCCATGGCTTTGATGCTCTTTAGTGGCAGACGACCCTTCAGTATAAAACAATACAACTCAGTGCTGTGATGTATACAATAGTCCTATATTTGAATCTAAATTAAATGTTTGTTTATTGTATTAAAAAGTAGAATCACTTAAACTGAGGTCAAATGACAATAATGGTGGCCAGAAGGTCCTTCGTTTACTTCTTTTTTTTTTTTTTTAAAGAAACAGAAGCCTATATATAAACAGCACTTTGGCACCACTTATCAACTGTTAACTTTTCAGTTAAATAGGGTTCACCACTTACTTCCATGAAGAACCTTTAACAGCATGGAAACTTTCCATTCCACAAAAGGTTCTTAATAATGGAAAAAGTTTGTTTAGATTTTTTAAAAGGTTCTTCATAGAAAATGGTTCTTTTTAGAACTGTTCACTGAAAGGTTCTTTGGGGAAGTAAAAATTGTTCTTCTATGGCTTGACTGTGAAAAAAACAACCTTTATTTTAAAGAATTTTAGAATTCTAGAAGAATTTACTAATTGAGGCTGCCAAATACATGTCCATGGCTCATAGTTGCAGACATATTGCTGATATGCAGTGTTCTGTATGGCTTGTCAGCAAAATTAGCTTACCTCATATTTCACACGAACATGATGACAGTCGAGAGATAAAATGAGGAGGTCAAACGGGAAGAGCACAAGCAAACGCTCCTGAGGTCCCTGCAAAAGCCAGTCCAGATGTTTGAAAGAGGCCTGTTTAGTACCATCCTGAATTACATGGACACCACTCTCTATTTTTAGTCTATAGCCTGACCTGTCTGTGTATGTTGCTGATGTGCACCAATGAAAGGTATTTCGGATAGCCCATGTGCTGAATGGGCGTCCCCTCCCATTGCAAGATCGGAGACCGCAGTAAGTACCTTTTAAGCTCCTCCTTCTTCCAGTTTTCATCACATGGCACCTGGAATAGTGGAAATAAAACTGTCTGAGCAATGATGTGAAAGATCCTAATACTGTTTTACTTATCTGGTTCGTTGGACAAACATAACCAATGTTCATTCAGGAACAAATATATTTGACCATGTTTTATGAGTCCTGTATATTCCAGGTATGCAGTACAAGGCTGAATAAGATGTACCAGGTATGAGAGAGTACTATGGGACGGGCTCAGCTGTTGCCTTAGGGATTTGTATCTCCTTTCCTCAATGTTCTCCACCCAGGCATCTTTTTCCGTAGCACTATTACAAATGAAGATCTTTGAGTCCACCATAGGTCCTAGAGTATATCATAAATATAGGCGTACCATGTTCAAATATTTTTGTGACTTCAAAAATCTCATATTCAGGGTTCATTTAGAGATTTAAGTTGTTGTGTTTTTTAGATTTTTTTTTAGAGGGGATCTCACCGCTAATCTCAAACATATGTGGAGAATTGGGGTCCTGCTGTGAGATCAGATGCACCTCAATGGCAGAGAGAGGAAGAATGCCCTGTGACGAAACACAGATTGTCAGCGAAATCTAAAGTGAAGCTCACGTCGTTACATATTTTCCTCACACCTTATAGAAAGAGTCTTACCTCATAAATAAATTCATGATTAGCACTGTCCAAAGCGAGGATTAACAAATGGAAGGAAAATAAAACCAGATATCTTTCGCTCATAGCCTGCGGACAGACATCATAATGCATACAAATTACATTTACTCATAAAGTTAGACATATGCAAAAATATGAATTCAGCTCCTCTTAAATCCCCCCCCCCCCCCCACCCCCCCAAACATTTTTTTTCTGAATTGCCACTAAGCAAATCAAAAGCCATCTTCATTATAGTTTAGTGTAGTTAAGGGCAGTTTGGCACATGAACTAAAGCAATTTTGTTGAATTGTTACCTTTGTGTACCCACTGTGTAAATACACAGAAGATGAGTGGATAATGTCTCCATAGGTGTGTGGTGCCTGTCCTTCCCATTCTCTGATTGGATGAGTGTACAGCCTGTGATGGAGCTCTTTTTTTGTCCCGCCCCAAAGCACAAGCTGAGAAACAGAAATACAAATAAATCACCCTAATGCTATATAAAGAGCATGTAATGTTGACAAATGCACAAAGGATTATTTTATTTATTTATTTAGAAGCTGATGAAGACATACTTGTGAATGGTTGTGTTTAGTTTTGTTCCTCACAGATACAGGATCCGGTTCCTTGCACAAGACACAGATGCAGAAATGGAGATGAAATTGATAAAACTCTTATTCAGTGCAGACATTATACATTCATCTATCTGTGAATACAGTGGCTCCAAAAAGTATTTAGATAATGCACCTAAGCAAAACATAAAATGTTCAATTGTTATAGAATTATGTATAAAATATAAAAAAGTGGCATTTACACATCAATGATGCACATTTTGTTCAAAATAAATGCCAGTTGCGTTGCTTTTTTGTGTAATTTAGAAATACTAGTGCAATGCCCGTGCAAAATCAGTTTTTGTGTGTTTTTAGTAGTTGTTGGTTTGGTATGTTTGAGTTGCTGAATAGCCTAGGCTACTATTACACAGGAGCCTAAACTCTAAGAAAACGATAACGTTAAGCGCACCAGAATAAAATATAATATTAAACAGTGTAGCTGACTTACAGATTCAATTAAAACGCTACTTTTTCAAAAATGAATCGCTACTTTTTCAAAAATGAATCGCTACTTTTTCAAAAAAGAATTGGTAGAATCACTACTTTTTCAAAAGTGAATCGCTACTTTTTCAAAAAAAGATTTGCTACTTTTTTCAAAAAGATTTGCTACTTTTTTCAAAACGAATCGCTACTTTTTCAAAAATGAATCGCTACTTTTTCAAAAAAGATTCGCTAGAATCGCTACTTTTTCAAAAGTGAATCGCTAATTTTTCAAAAAAGAATCGCTACTTTTTTCAAAAAGATTTGCTACTTTTTTCAAAAAGATTTGCTACTTTTTTCAAAACGAATCGCTACTTTTTCAGAAAAGAATCGCTACTTTTTAGAAAAGAATTGCTACTTTTCTCAAAAAGAATCAACAAATGTATAATAATAATAATATAACAAATGTATAACACTGTAATAAATGTATAATAACATTGTAATAAACATATAATAAGACTGTAACAAATGTATAACACTGTAATAAATGTATAACTACATTGTAACAAATGTATAATACTGTAATAAATGTATAATTACTTTGTAGTAAATGTATAAAAACACTGTAAAAATGAATAATTACATTGTAATAAACGTATAATTATATTGTAATAAACGTATAATAAGACTGTAACTGTGACTGTAAATGTATAATTACATTTTTGCACTACTTTTTTCAAAAAGAATCGCTACTTTTTTCAAAAAGAATCGCTACTTTTTTGAACAAAATCGCTACTTTTTCAAAAAGAATCGCTACTTTTTTCAAAAAGACTCGCTACTTTTTCAAAAAGAATTGCTACTTTTTTCAAAAAGAATCGCTACTTTTTTCAGAAAGTAGCGCTACTTTTTCCAAAAAGATTCGCTACTTTTTCAGAAAGTAGCGCTACTTTTTCCAAAAAGATTCGCTACTTTTTCAGAAAAGAATCGCTACTTTAAAAAAAAAGAATCGCTACTTTTTCCAAAAAAAACTCGCTACTTTTTTCAAAAAGAATTGCTACTTTTTTCAACAAAATCGCTACTTTTTCAAAAAGAATCGCTACTTTTTAAAAAAAGAATCGCTACTTTTTCAAAAAGAATTGCTACTTTTTTCAAAAAGAATTGCTACTTTTTTAAGAATCGCTACTTTTTTAAGAATCGCTACTTTTTTAAAAAGAATCGCTACTTTTTTCAGAAAGTAGCGCTACTTTTTCCAAAAAGATTCGCTACTTTTTCGGAAAAGAATCGCTACTTTTTTCAAAAAGATTCGCTTCTTTTTCAGAAAAGAATCGCTACTTTAAACAAAAGAATCGCTACTTTTTCCCAAAAAACTCGCTACTTTTTTCAAAAAGAATTGCTACTTTTTCCAAAAAGAATAGCTACTTTTTCCAAAAAGATTCGCTACTTTTTCGGAAAAGAATCGCTACTTTTTTCAAAAAGATTCGCTTCTTTTTCAGAAAAGAATCGCTACTTTAAACAAAAGAATCGCTACTTTTTCCCAAAAAACTCGCTACTTTTTTCAAAAAGAATTGCTACTTTTTTCAAAAAGAATCGCTACTTTTTCAGAAAAGAATCGCTACTTTTTCCAAAAAGAATCAACAAATGTATAATTATATTGTAATAAATGTTTAACACTGTAATGTATAATAACACTGTAATAAATGTATAATTACATTGTAATACATGTAGAATAACACTAATGTATAATTACATTGTAATAAATGTATAATAACACTGCAATAAATGTATAATAACACTGTAATAAATGTATAATAACACTGTAATAAATGTATAATTACACTGTAATAAATGTATAATTACATTGTAATAAATGTATAATAACACTGTAAACAATGTATAATTACATTGTAATAAACGTATAATTACATTGTAATAAATGTATAACAACAACATTGAAAAAAATTGCTATACATTTCACGAAAAGAATCGCTACCTTTTTACTTCAGAAGTAAACAGTGTAGCTGACTGTTTAGCTGACAGAATGTTTATTTTTAAACCACAATTTTTAAACCACAACCCTCTCTGATGTCAGAATGTTTATTTTTAAACCACAACTTCAATGTGTGCTTCGTTTACCGATATATTTAACAATATCTTTTGCATTTCTAATCCAAACAACGTCAAACTCGGCACTGCACGTAGCAAGACACCTGTCAAGTTTGAAATCCATCGGACTAACGGTTCGAGAGATATTCGATTAACAGACAGACAGACAGACAGACACACAGACCGACAGACGTTCATGTAATTTATAGATAGATTCATAGATTTATAGATTTTTAAAAGTCCAACAAATTTTTAGCCAAAAATTTTAGCCAATTGTTTCTCTTTTGTTTTCTCTGCATGTTATCTTTTTTTTTTTTTTTGGGAAACATAGCTACACCCATTGCAACTTCCTGTTTACTGGCTTACCTCCTGCTTCAGGTGCCTCACAGAAGGACAACGATGAGGACCTTCATCTGTGCCATTCCTTGTGGAAATTTGGAGTCTGCTTTCAGAGAGACTCCAGAGCCTGAAACCGCAGATGGCTAAACAGTGTCAAATCACTTTATCTTGCAGCATAACAGATGAGGATTTAAGAAACACAATGCAAATTGTTGTGCGCTGTATGATTGATTTAGTGGGAGAGAATTTCACCTGCTGTAGTAATGTGGAAGTAACCTATTTTCTGTGACTGAGTGGGCACTTCTGATTCATACTATTGACCTTATGTGCCAGAGAAACAAGTGCGCAGCCATCTTTAGAATTTTTACACGCTTTGTATGAGGTTTGTTCCCTGAATGTTACTTATTTCATCCCCAGACCCTCTGTTCCCGCTGCTTTTACGCATGCTGCTTGCTGGGGAAGTGCTCAGACATAAGCAGCTTACTGTGGGTGGTGAATGACAAGCAGACATCCGCCATCTGACCCTCAATAGGCCTGACTCTTTGAGCAACACTAAGAACCTATAGACACTTCAACAGGAATATTGCAAGACCATTACCCACAAAATTAGTGATTTAACATTGTAATTACCCCAAACAAACCATGTTTTCACCCCTGACGTAGTTGGATATCTGCATATTAACAACCTGTGTTTATTTCTGCAGATTGGCCGTTGTCTGATCCCCGTTTTTCTGCTAGTTTGGCCACATAAAGCTTATGAGCTCTGATTAACTCCCACTCTAATCCCTACAGTCTCCTAATGAGAGGATTGAGGCTTCCAGCCTGGAGTAAGACACCAGACTGCTCAAACACACTTGGCTCCTTTAATTAGCTATACTAGTTGCATTAGTTCTGCCTCATTTGGTGTATGAGAGGATCTTATGAGATCTAGCTGCAAGTCTGCTGCCCATCCACGGTAAACACCATCATTGTGAGGGGAATAAGACAACTACAACTTACACAAGAAGCTCAAGATGTTTCACACAGTTTCATCAGATCAATTTCAGACAGACAGAATCAGCAGAATGGTTTGACGCTGAAAAAGGGGTCTCTATAAATTACTTACTGGCTAAAACTGAAACTGTCACGTGGTTTCTTACCATAAAAACCACCACTCTTAGAATACATATATGTAAAGCTAATTCAAACATTCACAACTCCAGTGGACAGCTACTTCCATTTTAACATCTTGATTATGAACAACATACCCTTTGCGGTTTTCAAAATGTTATCAAACATTACCTAACACTCTGAAAGGAGGAAGTTCTGCTACTAAGTATATTCTGTGCACGCAAGAGCCTGGCTTCCAACTGAAATGCATGAGCAAAAGAACAACCATGCGGCAGTCAATCTCTTACCCTGCATTGTTGATTTCCAGGAGTTCGATCTCATCTGGGCCCACTTCATCAGTTCCCGTATTCCTCTGGGTCACACTGCAGCATCCCATAGCTTGTCTGCACCTTACCACTCCTTTCCACACACACGTCCCCAATGGCTTCTCCTCTAAACTACACACTGAGGGCCATCTGGTCACCCCCACACGCCCCACACCCCAACAGACTATAAGCAGGGTTCAAGAATGAGATGCAAAGAAGCCTGAATGAGGTGTCTTGACATTGAACCGAAGCCAACGTTGGGAGCCAATGAAGAGGAGCAAGAGAGTTGTATGAAACTATCCAGCACAGCAGTTACACACAAATGCTGCACTATTTCTTCCTGTTGCTATCAGCAGTGACGCGGCAGCGGGCAACACAACTTCCTCTCTTCACTGTTTCATCTGTGAGTGAGCTTGAAAGCATTGAACGGTTTGTTTCGACTTTGATTTTACGCACGTGGAATGCAAGCAGCATCAATAAACAAATCCCACTTAAGATTATGATTACACCTCATGAAGTCAACACACAAATGTAGGCAAAGAGTAACCACAACAAGAAAACTGCAGCTGAATCTCAAACTGTCTCAATTGGTGGTAAGGAGTGGGTTAGAGTGTAAAGGTCTAATGTTGTTTGTTTTGTCGCATATGCTACAGATGGAGGAAGAAGGAGGGTCTTGTGGCTGCCACCAACCAAAAAAAAAAAAAAAAATGGGTGGTTGTCTGAACTTTAGTCAAAGAGAACATTCAAAATCCCTTCGAAACTTAACTGGTTTGTTGAAATGATGCACTATGCTTCATTTTTCATGCTGTGTCAATATGTGAAAGATGAAGTGATACTGTCTTACTATGTGACCCAGATAAGACATAACCTCCCCACAAAAAAACAAAACACTTTTTAGCAGCTTAGCATTTTTCTTCAAAGCTTAAAGATGTCTTAGTCTAGTGGTGTTGTTTTGAATTTATAGTGAGCAATGGTTCAAATCGTAACCTCTTAACTGTCCTGCTAGCCGTGCCATGTTTCATATTACAAAATTCACTGCACCATCTTGTAATCAAAACTTTTCTAATTTTGACTAAACGCATATCATTGGAAAGGTTTGAGACTCAAGGTTCCATATTTTGCGATATAGTGACAGAAATGTATTAATTTGTGCAGGAGAATGATTTAAACATTTTTATAGCGCCTAAACAACATCTCATGGGAACTTCAATTTTTGTGATATCAACTTTAAATTCGGAACACATCTTGGTTAGACATATGGCTTTGATTTTATAGCATTTTTAGAGTAAGAAATATAAAAAATACATATATTTTGTATAACAAAAAATGTTAAGTACATTTGCTTTGCAGTAAATTGAAACTTTATGAAGTGCTTTCACTTCAGCAATAATCTGCTGAGTGTCTTCATTATAAAGAGACCGGCCTTTGGTCTGTATTCATGAATTACAACCTTTTGTATAGATTTAAAGGGTTAGTTCACCAAAAAATGAAATTTCTGTCATTAATTATCACCCTCGTGTCATTCCAAACCCTTTGTCATCTTCGGAACACAAACGAAGATATTTTTGATGAAATCCCAGAACTTTCTGACCCCATAGACTGCAATGCAATCACCACTTTCAAGGCCCATAGTCAGACATTGTCAAAGCAGTCCATGTGACTACAGTGGTCCAATCTTAATGTTATGAAGCGATGAGAATACTTTTTGCGCGCAAAAAAACACTGACTCTGACGCTGTTAACGTGAGCACCTCAACGCATGCGTGTGATGCTGACTCAGGAGCTAGCCAATACTGAGCCGGCACGTTCTGACGTAGAACCCGGAAGACAACGAGAACAGCATCAGAGACTGACACGGAAGAGAAGTCGTTATTTTTGTGATTTCATCAAAAATATGTTAATTTGTGTTCCAAAGATGAACAAAGGTCTTGTGGGTTTTGAATGATATGTAGTTATTAATGACAGAATGTTCCTTTTTGGGTGAACCAACCCTTTAGTGCATTTTTACGTCTATGCTCAAAAAGGGGGTATTGTTTCTGTAATATGGTCAGTAAGATTTGTTTTTAAAGAAATTAATACTTTTGTGAAGCAAGGATGAAGTAAATTGATCAAAAGTGAAAATGCTTTATTTTATTTGCAATTTATTTGTTTAAATATGTCAATGTTCTTTTGTACACTTTTGTACAGGTATACTTTTATTCATCAAAGAATCCTAAAAAAATGTATCACAGTTTCCACAAAAATATAACTGTTTTCAACATTGATAATAATAAGAAATGTTTCTTGAGCAAATTAGACTGAAGACTGGAGTAATGGAAAACTCAGCTTTGTCCTCTTAGGAATAAATTACAATTTTTAAATAGAAAAATTATTTTAATTAAAATGTAATAATATTTTATAATATTACTGTTGTTACTGTATTTATTTATTTATTTTACCAAATAAATGCAGCCTTGGTGAGCATAGTGACTTCTATTAAAAGTATTTAAACATTTTTACCAACCCCAAACTTTTGAAAGGTAGGGTATATATAATAAATAAAGTAGTTACACAGACTTTAGTCAGACTTAGTGTTTACCATGCATTTTTATTGTAAAAGCAGCTTTGGCATTTTAATACGTTTAACTCATTTTGCTTTCCACAGAGCAAAGTCAAGCGTTTTGAGGGAGGATAGATGATGTATGATGTTTAAACTTGGGTGACGTAAATCTTTTTTTTTTTTTTTTATCAGCAGGAGCATCAGTTTAAATGAGCATGATGCTTCTGGTGATGAGGAACAACATTAGTCATAAGGAGAAGCAAATTCTAATTATTTTGAGAAGAAGCCCTTATAATAACTCTTTTGATGTAAAAGTGCAGTGTCATCTTCCTTTTTCTTTTCTTTGGGCTCTTTCTTTTCTGTCCCCACAGTGTGGAGGGAGTATGGCTCAGCCAATTGAATCTGGGACATCTTTAGGTTGTAACTCATATGCATAATTTTGTCTGTCTGCCAGCCTTGAGTTCCAAGTCTTTGTGTGGGGTTTGAGCCTTTGCTCAGGGCTGGTGTAGACAATGACGTGATAGCCCTTCTCACCGGTTGTGGAGGCACGTTGAGGTTGGATATCACTGCAGGTTGATGCCAGGTGCACTTGCTGAGGTGCAACTCCACACGTGCACGGACAGGTCTGGACTGGTATGGTCGAGACTGGTTTGTTTCTTGAGCTTTGGATGTCAGAGGCTTCTGTGTTATAGCTGCTACTGCTGCATGTTGTTTCATTGGCTGCTGTGAAGGTGGGCTGGTATTGGACAAAACAGTGGAAGAGTGGATGGCGGTGGAAGAGAAAGGAAATTTGCCTTGAGTTTCAGAACACTTGTTGTACCTATTAGTTGATTTCCCTGTTTGTGTTTCTAAGGCAACAGTTTTATCTGTGTTGTCGTGGGTGGAGCAACTCTTCGAATGGAGGGTCAAGAAGGGCCCGGTGGTTTTGTTTTGCCTCTGTTTGGTTATGGCCGCTGTCTCACCACCATACAGAAATAGAAACTCTCTTCGACTGTTTAGTGGAAGCAGTTTCAGTCCACAGCAAGACTTATTAAAGATTTCCAAAGAAAGGTCTGAAATGAAAGGATATCATATCTACAACACGTGTTGTCACACCTTTTTTTAATCATGTATCATCACAAGCAATATATTTTCACAGCTTTCACACATTATTCTAACAAACTAGAACATTTTTTTTTTTATCTCATTTAGAATGGCATGAAATGTCACACTGTTGATACTTTGCATTTTAAAACACATTTGTTTGGACATAATTGTCTGAATATATGTTTGGGTTAAATATATTTAGTGCATTCCGAGTTATTATTTAGTGAAACAAATAGCTCACCAAGTGCCTCATTGACTGTCCGTGGTATCACATCTTTCAGTACTTCACAGTTAGTATGCAGGGCAGGGTTACAGTTCATCTCGAGCAACCAGACCTGCCCAAAACAACCACCACATCACAATCAAGACTTCTCAGGTTACAAAGTTACAAACAAGCTCTTTTCTTAAGGTGACCATAATTCTGTAAAGAAAACATTTTGTGTGTGTGTGTGTGTGTGTGTGTGTTTATATATACTGTATACACACACACACACACACACAAAATGTTATAATTATGATAATATATAATTATGTAATACACATACATCTATATATATATATATGCTGATGAATAAAAAGTAAAAAAGAAAAACAGCATTTATTTTAAATATATCTTTTTGTAGCATATAATCTGCATATTAGAATGATTTCTGAAGGACCATGCGACAGTGTAGACTGGTAAAATTCAGCTTTGCATCACAGAAATAAATTATATTTTAAAGTGTATTAAAAAGGAAAACCATTATTTTAAATTGTAATGATCTTTCACAATATTACAGTTTTTTCTCTATTTTTTATCAAATAAATGCAGGCTTGATAAGCATAAGAGACTACTTTCAAAAACATCAAAAATAGTACTGTTTCCAAATTTTTAACTAGTACTGTTTGCCACAATAAATAATAAATAATGCCACGAAAATAGGTAATTGATCTAAATAACTATGCATGTATCTAATGCAATAAAATAAGGAGAAATTACATCTAGTAAAAAAAGAAACGGAAAGAAAATGTAACCTTCGTTAACATGTCACCCTTTTTCCTTATGAGTACCAACAAAAACCCTGCAACACATTACAGTTTACTTTCTGAGACACACTTTTAACAGTAGATGGCAGTCTTACCCTACTCAAATTGCTATATTCATTTTACAGTAAAATATGTAAATGCATATTTCGGCTAAACCACAAATACAGTATGTGTTATGTACAACAAACACATTTTTTTTTCTTGTGATCAGTGCAGAGGAAACAGTATGACAAGATTACACACTGACACTGAGTGTGAAACACGTACACACATCTCACTGAGGAAGAGTGTTCCGTTTGAATATTTCAATGCAAGGCTTTTAAGGTACTGTTATAGTCTTATTTCATAAGTATACTGTATAATATCTTCCAATATAAATGTTGTTGGTTGTTATGTGTGAATCCATGATCTGGTAACCTGGAGACCAGAATGTGCCTGGCCTGGGAACGCATGTTTACGCTGACAGTACACGGGTTGCCTGGCAACTGCTTGGCAGGGATTGAATTTAGGATGCTCCATAGGGGGACAATACTGGCCTCTGAACATCATGTTTCCAGAGAATCATGCCAGCATTAAAAACTGTATCATAATTGTCTTGAAGAAACTAAAGAGGATTAGATTACAGAAGAGATAAATAAAGACTTTATGTTTGTAATGCGTCTTAGCACATTCGGTGGATAATTCTAAAACTAATCTCCTGTGTCTGACTCTGTTAAGCCTGTCAGGCTTCCAACACACACACATTTCCATTCTTGAAGTCTCTATAAACACTCTTTTGTGTCTCACCTTGAAATCCTCATCAATCATGAAGTCACAGCCAATTAGGTCAAAGTAACCAAGTTTGCAGTCCAGCTTGGCTTTGACGGCTTGAAAGCACTGCATGATGACAGTTTGCATCCTTTTCTGCAGAATGACAAAACGTTTAGTTTAGTTACTGAAATCTCAAATGAAATGATGTTCCTCGGTTTTAGAGTTCATATTCGCCTGTCAAAAATATAATTTTGTTTTGAGCTCCAAGATAAAATATGGCCTTTAATTTACCACATTTATTTTCCTATTCAGTTTCATCTTTCTCGATAAATTTGATGAGCTTCCCTTTTAATATTTCATCAACTCCCAAAACCATTGTTACCATGACAACAGGACATCTGCATCCTTTCAAGTAGTTTGAATAAATCTACATGCAGTCATTACTTTGAAAGATAGCCTACATGTAGACCTTCCTACTAAATCAGGTTAACAGATATTTTCACTTGATCTTTTTGATTATCACTTATTATATAAATCTATAGAAATATTTTGAGGATATTGCCTCTTTGATGTGTGAAAAAATATCAAACTCACTGCGAAAGGACCCAGAACCCAATCTTTAGGCAGACCCTTTGACAGCATGTATGTCTCATTAATGTATGTATTGAAGCGCTCCATGGACCAAACGGTCTCCTCTTTTAGCAGGCTGTAGAGAGGGTGTTTCTTCTGCATGTACTGCAACAAAGGACAAATTGTAGTATCTTATAGCCTAAAAACAAGCATATAGATATTAACATTAATTAGTCCTTTAAATATACACATTGTCTTACTTGATTGGTCAAGTGGGCTGTGATATTGTCAGAGTTGGGGTCATAAAGGTTACATGTCAATCGGACATAACCATGGCGAAAAAACACCATGTATGGCGAGGTGCAAGCAATTAGAAAGTATGACCGCACATCAAATTTCCGGCCTTTTAGTAGCAAAGGGTTCTCGATGTACCTTAAAATAATCAGAAGAACATAGAAAAATTCATTTTTACTTATTAAGGTTACGTTTTTAAAAAATGCATTCCAGTATACTCATCTTAACATAATAATTTAATAAATAATATTTAATAGATATACATTTAATTAGTATCTATTCAAAGATTTAATATTTATTTATTTACTAATTATTGTGTTAACTTTGTGCATCCTTTACTACAGTGGCAAATTTCTTGCCATGCTGTTCTAACCATAGTACAGGTATGTATACGCATATGCCACATTCGACTGCTCCACAAACGTCGATGTGTCCGCCATCTTGGAACGGTTAACGTGTCGTTACTCACAGTAAAAATCAATGAGTTTTCCAAGATGCCACAGCATTACGAAGCCTCAGCCGAGATTTAAAGGTAGGGTAGGCAATTTTGGAGAGGCTAGCAATAGCAAGCTAGCTTTAAAAGCATGAGATCCCACCCTCCCTTCAGAGTGTCTCCAAAGCCACGCCTCCTTCAAAACACATGAACGCGCACAGCAGAGTCTGCAAAACATCACGAGAGACTGCGTTAAATAACCTCATGTCTCCAAGCACATGGCATTACAATAATAATGAGACTTACAGAGCTCTTACTTGTACCATCTGATTGCTGCAGTTTCATTTCGGCATTGATAGTGTTGATAGAAACGCAAAAATCAGAGTCTGAGGACGTGAACAGATCTGGGTAGAAAGACACGGTGAGCGTTCCAATATGGCAGACGGCTTAAGTATAGTGGCCCATTAGCCTGGATGCCAGCCGAACTTAGCCCCGCCCACAACATTTGAGGATGGGAAGTTCGGTCTGGACTTGATCCGTTGTGAAGCAAGTATTACCGAACCAAAGCTGTTCGGATCAATCAAATTGTCAGGGTGGGCTTTATACGATGATGGACAGATGATCAACAGTAACGTAATCACCCACGTCACCAAAGAGCGCTTGGGTTGAATTCGTTTACGACAAAGAATGGCTGCCGCTGGAGAATTTAGATGTGTAGATTCAGCCATCGCATCTGTTATAGAAGATCTAGACAGCCCATTCATTTTAAAAGAGGAACAGAACCGCGATCAAGGCATTTGTCGAACGGAAAGATGTTTTTGCCGTCCTTCCTACAGGATTCGGTCTATAAAATTGAGTGGAGTGGCATTTTTTCCTGGTTCGGTTGAAACGCCCCATAATCACAGCCCAATGGAGCAGTATCAGACTCACATTCTGACTAGAGCCTGACGTATGACGACGTCAGGCTAGTGGCCCATAGAAACAGTCGCTAATGAAGCATATATATAGCTACGGTTCTAGCAACCTCAATAATAAAAGAATAGTGGTCTCTATTCTTATGGCTTGGTCAAATTAACCATCTAAAAAACTCCAACGCGTTTCGGCTACAGCTAGAATAACAGAAACTAGCCCTGATCACAGCCTCCCTGCAGAGTAGAAGATGCATGTTAGCTTCCCCTGTGGCACAACTGCATTTTGTAATGTTGCCTGATTTCTGACTGAAAAAATTAGCATGTAAACATCAAGCTGTTTTTGATTGATGCCTGTGGCGTTGACCATGAATTTTAGCAGGATTATAGGAGGACACTGAGGCCGTGATTCACAGCATGATTACATATAATTGAAACATGTGGTCTTTTGAAATTGTCAGCTATACTTACCGTTGAACAATCAGAGCTTGTGGCGTATTGAAAGGCGACTTCCTGTTCTTCTCCATTGTGTTCTGCAGTCGTTCTCTGAATGCTGTGATGTCTTCTGGCATCCGCAGTAGAAAAATACCACGACCCTGATTAAGGCCTGTCGGCTTGCAGATCCACATGCTGGATTTATCATTGCATATTCCTAAAGACCACATCAATTTTACATTTATTAGACTCTCACTGATGATGAAGTACTGACGATATGGTTTCAACAGTATATCTTTATCTACTGTTTCTTTCTGTATCTCTATAACATGTAGCCATGCCTTTAAAGTAAGCTTCTCTCTCATCCTTCATATCCATACGGAAAGTGACAGGAAAGAAGTCCTCAAGCTTCATCCTCCTGCAACATTCAAAACAATTGTGTATGTAGATGTGGCAGTTAGATAAAAGAAGAATATTTCAGTGGTGACATATAGTAAAGTAAACATGACTGATATTCTGAAAATGCTATCAAAGATTTGTGTAACTGGTACTATCAAAAAGTATATTCATTTTTAACCTGTTTCCACATCCATAATTAACCTTGCTGCTGACTCTGTCATATTCCCGTAGGCTGTTCAGAAGGCCAATCTTAGTGGTCAAGACCTTATTATTGGGTATCTGGTAAAGCAATTGGCCACCTGTAAGAAAAAAAAAACAGACAAAGTGTGGAATGTTTTGTTTATGATTCCTGTGATCTTGACATAATGAAACGTAGATCACCTGCTTTGAAGCCGTTGTAGGTAGCAGGTGATTTAGTTTCACACCATTTGAGCTTGTAGTCCGTCCTGGTCTTGTCAAATATGCGCTGCCAGCCTCGACCCTCACAATATGAAACAACTCTAAATATAAGATCGAACCAAGATATCATGTTTGAAAGGATTTAAAAAATGGGTTGAGAGATTCTCAAGAAGAGGAAAATCTGTCTATTTCTTTATTCATCATAAGCCACTGGTATGTCTATATATTGATTATATGGTTGTAGGCAGAGTGCGAATTACCTCACCATAATTGGGGGGTACTGCTCCTTCCCTCATTTTTGAAAACACTCTTATCTGAATAATTTTATGTACCTTTATAAAAGGGCAGTTTTCCTTAATTTTATTTAATGTATGCTCTAAATTTCATTTCAAATTCTTACATTTTATTAATAGGCTACATTCAATTAAAATAATAAGACAGCCTAGCGGCCAATCAAATTAAATAATTTACATTGAAAAATTATAACTGTATTAAATGAGATTATGAGATTGTTTTAAATATTTTTTGAATAATATAAGGAATGTTGAAAAGAATGATACTTTGAAACTAAACCGCCAGTAGGAGGCGCAGGCGGCTTAGTGAGCGATTCATTGAGTCATTCATTTAAACGATTCGTTCAAACGGCTGATTTATTCAGAATGAGGCGGTTTAATAATGGGTAATTGAATCTTTGACTCGAGCGATTAGTTCAAAACGCTGAATTATTCAGTAATGAATCATGGATGAGTGTTGCTCTGAGATGCGCTGTGGTTCTGTTGTTTGGAACTATTTTCGCTGCTGAAACAGAACAAAAACAGTCATTGCGTCTAAAAATGTAAGTAACTTAATTTGAACTATTTTACTTGTTTATCGAACTGTTATGAAATCAATATCTCGGTTTCAATCGTGATGGCATTCAGGAAAACAGCACTCTGGTCGTGTGTAGCCTATATATTGTTTCTTAACTATAAATTAATGTTATAAATAACTGCGCGAGCCGCAACAGCGCAACTTTGTCCGTACATTAGCAGGAGCACAACAACAACAACTCACTCGGCTAGCTGCCCTTCTCTATCTCCACGGTGGTTAAAAATGGTACGGTCCACAATAGGGGTGTTCGCTGAAATCGCTTTACATTAAAATGTTCCTACAGTGAAAATAGGAGTTGACTTGTATTGTAACTGTAATTATATTTTTTCACAATATCAGGAAAATTATCTGACCCCCCCAAAACTGATATTTCTGTCCCTTTGGGGGGTACTGGGTCTTCATTGGGGGGTATAGTACCCCCCAGTACCCCCTGTAATTCGCACTATGGTTGTAGGCCTCTCAAGGACCCACTCCAGACTAAAGGCCAAAGAAAGACCAAGAAAAACACTAAAACTGCGGTGCGTTAGTCAAATTGAACTGATTTCTGCAAATCATGTAGCCTGGGAAAACCCAGACAACTTCCGGCAAATTTAGATTTGCTCTGAAAGTTAGTCTGGCAAAGAGCTCATTCAAGCCCATTTCCAATCCGTCGAAATCGAGGCACCAATCAGAAACGTTGGGGCGGGCTTTACACGATGACGACAGCGCTGGGATTTTGAAGCAGATTTTGTAGCCTACATTACAAAGATGGATGCCGCCGTCCAACATCACTCGTTCGAATCAGCTATCGCGTCTGTTTTAAGCGATTTGAACGTTTCCTTTTTGTTAAAAACCGAGCAAAGAACAACACACGGAGATGTTTTTCCGCCGCTCTGCATACGTCATCTCCTTCATCGCTCTGATTGGTTTTAGGTCTATCCGCGACGTCCGTTGGTGACGCCCCTCTGGAAATGATTTGTCTATGACGCTTTGCCAGACCATAACTCAGTTACAACTGAGAATGGTCTGGTTTTAACCAGGCTACAAATTATGTATAACACATGACAAATCACAAACTATAAAACATCACTTAAAATTGTTTTATTGATGAATGGATCTTTCAAAAATATTCCCTGGTCAAAGGGTTTTTATATACTCACATGGAGGCCCCATTGCTCCCCCCAAAGAAGAAGAAGGGTCCAGGGCCCCGTGGATCTTCAGGCCGCTTGTCTCTGTCCCTCTCAACAATTGAGTTGCTCACCGAACCTTTACATACACAAAGAAATACAAACTAAGTGAACTTCACTTTCTAAACAATTAAAAATAATACATGGACTATATTTTACATTATTTATCGAGACATACAATGAAAAGGTGGTTGGAAAATTGGCAATGACCCTTGTAAGAATCGTGAGTGTCATAACATGCGTCAGCTGGGGGCGGATCAGAGTTGGACTTGTGGGAGACACCTGATCCAACAAGGTGTTAAATTAATCTCACCTCCTTTTCCTGGCCCGCGAGTGCACGTCTGACTAGACTTAACCCTGTACCATGTTGTCTAGTTTGTTTGCTGGCACTGAGCCATTTTACAGAATGCTGATTAACTGAGTCATTCTACTGTGGCCTTTTTATATTTTTGTTTTAGAACCTATCAATACTACCAATACCACAGTATATTAAATACTGTTAAAGGGAAAAAAATCACTGTTAAAGAACAAAATACTGTTTATTCATGAAACGGATCTATCAAAAAGATCCCATCCAAAACACCTTGGTTAAAAGGTTTTTATTCTGAACCATTATTACTTTTTTCAATTTAATGATTTATTTGTATAATAATAATGCTAATGACAATGCTAATAACAACAATTATAATTATTATATCATAATTAAAATAATGGTAAATATTAAATATAAGACCATAAATACTGCGTTAGGTATAATCTTTTACTTATTAATAAGTTGTAGGTATAAAGAAATGTTTTGACTTCAGTCATTTCAGTATATGGCATTTTTAACTGGATATGTTTCAAAACGTATCAATATCAACAATACTACAGTATATTCAAATTAGTTACATTTGTTTTTATGTAAATTATTAAACAGAAGTATTAATACTTTTCCATTGATCTCAAGCATTAGATATTTCAAAAGCATTGAAATTAATTTTTATAATAATATTTATTTTAAGATATATTATTATTATTAATAATAATACATATTTGTTATACTTATTCATATTATAATTACGGCAAATATTAATTATAAGACTGCATTCCAAGTTACAGTTAAAAAGTGTTTTATAGGAGCACGATATCTTTTCCTTATTAAACAAGTAATAGATAAAAATAATTGAATAATACTTATAATGTATTTATTTAAGATTCCAGTATCAGTAACCTAAAAGCATTTTTCTTTTATGTGGAGCTTGTCGTCTCATGGGAGCAGCCATGTTATGATCAGCCAGATACTACTCACTGTATCCCCTTAATACCAGACAACATTTGCTCATTGAATGAATGAATTTAATAGTGCAGTGACATCTAAAATAAGTAATGAAAGTAAAGTAATAAACAAACTGCAGTACAGAATCTATGAGTGTCTCTCCATCTACATAAAAAACACACAAATAATCTCACACACCTGGCGGGGCTGCATCCAGATGTTTTACTCTGTGCATCTGAGCGGCCCGTCTCCTTATCTCCTTGCTCTTCTCCTTCTGCATTCCAGCTCCATTCACATGTTGTGGCACCACCACCTCAACCCCAGCATTCAGCGGGCTGCCCTTCTCCTCCTCGTCTGATTGGCCCAGGCCGCTCATCGTCTGCTGTGTGTATCCACGGACATGCTGTGTGTCCTGTCTCTGTCCAGCAGCTGGCTCTTCTCTGTGCTGACGGGGCTCAACCCGGCTCTCAGATGACATCACGGTCACTCCCCCCTACCAGCCCAGATCCATGGAGAAGAAAAGAGATTTGCCTAGCAGTGCCCGACTGACCTCTGTAGAGCCAGTGATCCAGAAAACAGCAACATCAGATATGCTTGGCAACATTTCAACTTGGTATTTATTGGTCACTGGAATTGCTTGAGAAAATAACCTTGAAACTGCAGTACCAAAGAATGATTTGAGCGGTAACACTTATTTTAGCAAAACAAAATTTTGTAACGCATACAATTAAAAAATGCAGAAAACACATTACATATAACCAAGGAAAAAACTTTTATTACTGCATTTTAGCAATGGTGGATTAGCTTAGCAGCTACTTTGAATTTAGTAAATATAATTTTTATTAAACTTACTGTGATTTTGGAGATTACAAAATCTTTATTGTTCCATTCCTCTTTTAAGAAGTTGCTGTCTCCATTTGGAACATCTAAACTGGTCGTGATTGTATGATATGGCAGTCAAACATTGTTTATTCAGTCCGTGTACTTAAGAGACTTTTGGAGCATGCTAACTCAAACTAGCCAGGCCAATGTAAACAACTGCTTGTTACCTAGGAAATGGGTGTCTTAGCAACAGCTACTACTGGAGGCTAGAATCTCAGAACAAAAGAATCACTCCAGGAAATGATTCTCAGTGTTTCCAACCTAACACCATTCATTATTAATCGTCTTACAGATTACTGTTTTGGCATTGAGAGTGCATTTTCAACCACAATGAATGGTGTGCACTGATGCTGTTTATTTGATATCTTTTAAGGTATTGTGTTCAATTAGGTGTAAAACATGGAAATTGGAGCTAATGTTGATTTCAAAATGGATCAATGTCCCATAAAAAGATCTTAGACAATGGTTTTAATTGCTCGGCTTATAGAGGCCTATCTGTCTCTGTATGTTGTTTTTTTCAGGATTGTGTTGTCATGAACATAACACAAAGGTAAAATGTCAAACAAAGAACAAAACCTCAATAAATATCAAGCCCAAACACACCTGTCTCTATGCAATTACCTTAATAAGACCTTCTTATTCATATTCTAATTGTGTGTAACCATATTGTGTTGCATTAGACAACACATATTTGATCTGTATTTGCACAGTCAAGTACTGTAATGCTTCTCTAACTTTTTTGTAGTTTTTGTCAGGCTACATTGTTACATATCGCCATAATATGTGATAATCTTAATTTACTTCAATAACATGGACATTTTTCTTTGTAATTTTACATTGTAAAGTTACTTTGTTTAAAATGTTTAAACATTCTAAAACTGTCAGTTTATTTCCAGGTTTAAATTAGATTTTGAATCCCTCATTTTCAGTGTGGACTGAGAGATTTGAACCTCCGTTTATTTTAATCATGTGAATGCAGATACATATTTTTTCATGTTTTAGATGCGGAGGTAGTTCCCACATATCCTACATTTCAGGGTGTCTCCTAGAAAGTGTGAAAATTACTGCTCTTCATAACAACCGACTCTGTAAGACACACCCAGACACCAGTGGCAGTTAACTGTAATCCCACTCCTGACACTCATTTAGCTTAAACCAGCTTCCATTGGTCTTGCTTATTGAGTAGAGCTAATCCAGTGTGGTTAAGAATTCATGGAGAGAAGGAACTGATCCTAAACCACACATATGTTTGTGTGTGTAATGTACATAATGACAATTTTATTCGATTTTTTAGCAGAATAAGTACTCATCCCGGGCATAAAAAGGATAGAAATCAATGTTTAAACTTTCCGAAGAAAATGCGACCCATTTCTATCTGTGCAAAAAATAGGGTAGCCTAGATTATGAGGGTCAATGAATAAAAATAATAATTTTCCATTTTTTTTATTTCAAATAATCTTCACATTTTTAATATTATACAAACAAAAAGATTGTGTAAAGAGCAAAACATTATTTTACATTGCATGAATTTGTGTTGGATTGTGGCCTTTACTTGAAGCTACAAACTCTTAATGCAGTGGCCTCATGTCGTCAGATGTGGCTTGTAGTCATGTACAGTATGTAAGTACATTGCTGGTTTCAGCCACACCTTGCCAGTAGGCTGCAACCTGATAGACGCTGTGTACAGAGCGCTGTGTAGGTGGACAAAGAAAACAGGTTTGTTTTACAGCCATGTAACTCCCCTGGTTCACCATCTGCTTATGACTATTTGTGTGCGAGAGCGAGAGAGAAAGAGAGAGAGAGAGAGAGAGACTGTTTATCTGTTTTTGTGGACTGTCCTATTCCTCATCTTTGCCACAAACCAGGAAGTAGCCTACTGAAGAGTTTATATGCATGTAGTTTTTGAAGAAAAAAACTCACCATAACTTTGAGACACAATGGAGTGTGGAGGAGTGGACAGGAAAAACTATGCATTTTCATGCTGTTCACAGTTGGTGAAAGACTGATGTCATCTTATTGTCATCATGCTGTGCCATCATTCCTTGTTTCTCAGTCACCAGAACCTGACGAACTGCTGTATTAGCGAAGCAAATGAGGGGTGACGTTGTTCTTTTGTACAAGGAGGAGCATTAATGAAATAAGGAACGCAAGACACCCAAAGTTTAATCTTACAAAGCACAGAACAGTCTCTCTCCAGCAGCTAGACGTATAACAAACTCTCAAGTTTCTCAGAATTATCTAAATAACTGAGAATGGGAGGTTGGAGTTGTGGTAAAACCCCTTTGCAAACTAATCGGGGAGTTCCCTATCAGTGTGACTACTACTTTTCCTAAAGGTACTGTATGTCACAGCCGTTTAAACACGTGTACATCTTGACAGCCCGTTCCACTTCATTGCCAATAGGTTAACCTCACCCTCTGTTGGTTGGAATCTAGTTTGGCTACATCTGAGCATGCACAGACCAGTGCTGGAATTCTCCACTGTGTTTCCGGCAATGTGGAATTCTCTTGTGATGTCACGCGATGACAGGCTCTCTTTTTTTTTTTTTTTTTTTCACTTGACGCATTTAACTCACTTTAATGTTCACAGACACTTTGTTGCTTTACATTGTATCCACTTTTATAATAATGTTCAAACAAACATGAATTTGTCACATTTCTTTCCTTGATTATCCAATTACTGGTTAAATAGTTAAAATGCTGATATACTATACTATATAAGTTGTAGATGTAACTTACTTGATAGGGAAACACGGGGAAACACCTTTGCTACTTTAAAAAAAATGTATCTAATTGAAAGCACTTGACAACATTTCAGATCCTGTCTGGATGTATATCGTCCATTCCCTATAAATTATAATTCTGGATTGCACTCAAAAGGATCTCTCCCTAAACCCACGTGACTTCACAAAAATGCAATTACTCTGGAAATTTGAATTAACAACTTTCAAAATTGATCATAATAAGAAATGTTTCTTAAACACCAGATCAGCTTATTATAATAATTTCTGAAGGGTCATGTGACACTAGTGTAATGGCTGCTGAAAAATCAGCTTTGCCATCACAGGAATAAATTACATTTAAAAGTATATTAACATATATATATTTTTTTTCATTGTACTATTTCACAAGATTTCACAATTGTAATATATTTTTGATCAAATAATTGCAGTCTTTGAAAAACATCATAATCCTGAACAGGGTTATTTTTAGTTGCTGTATTACTACAAAAGATATTTAAGGCCCGTTCACACTAAAAACGATAACTGTAAAGATAACGATGACAACATTAGTGTCCACACCAATGCTGCAGTTTTGTCGTCTGATGCTTTAAATGTCTAAGTTTTTTAAAGCAGGATGGATTCTGATTGGCTGTCAATGTTTTTATTAATCACCAGCTGGAAAAATTTTTTCTGAAAGTATCGTTTCTCTGTAACATTAACATTATAATTGTGGTGTGGACTCTGCTATTTTTTTTTGTGCTTAGTGTGAATGGGCCTTTAGACTAACAGTTGACATAAGAGATTCATTTATGTCGTAAAAGAGTTGGGTGCCAAATGCTGCATTATAGCAGCAGACAAAACCGTCCGTGACAGACTAATATTTCAGAGATAACAGAAATAGCAAATAAAGGGCCATTGTATTGGTTTTGTATCTGAACTTTATTGAGCCATTGTGTCATTTTACATTTGAACTTCAAGGAATCATTCATATGTTCATTCACGGTATAGTTTGCGTTTGAGTACATAGGTGCATGAAGGTAAAAGCTCTTTTACATATCATTGTCCTGGTGTCCTTGCACCTCAGTACGACAGGGGCCTCACTGGCAGTGTGCTTTCCACAGCAACACAACGAGGTCCTGGCAGAACAGGGCAAATTGAGGTAGTTAAAAAGGAGCTCTGTTCACATGTAACTGGATCTTGCTTTGCTCTGAGGCCAGGCATTCCGGTCGACCCACTGAGGAGTCACATGAACACAATGACCAAGCCAGCAGCAGATTTACATACGCCTTACCTGACCGCTGAATACATGCCTGACTGACCTGATAGAATCGAAAGAAATGTCTCAGACACACTCAATTGAAGTCTGAACTGTTTTCATTATTTCTGTACCTTTCAACACACTACAATTGATGCAGTTTTCATTTTTGCTGCTCCAATCCACATATTTGCAAATCAGCACGGTTAGTTGGAAAGAAACTAGTCAACATACCAGTAGTGAACACTGTGAGCTTTTTTCCATGTGGAATTTAGTTACCATGGTGACACTGGAGGATCGTTGTGTTGGGTAATCAGCAAGCAAGTGACAAAAATCCTTTTATAATGCCCATTTCTGATCTAGTTTTTTTTCTTAGCCTCGTATACACTCTAATTTAACGTGGGTACTAGCCTACATCTACAGTCTCAGTTTACAGTTTGTATCAGAAAAATTATGATGTAATCACATGAAATATCTACATACACTGAGCAAAAACATAAAATATACATAAAAGTGCATGTCCCAGATATCTTTCCTGCCATGGCCACTTTACTTGCAGGGTTTATTGCAGAAACTTTGACTCATAACACATGGAAGAGAATTGCAAAATACCAGTCTTCCAGTGTAGGATTCACAGTTTCTTATAAAATTACATATATAGCATACATATAAAAAATATGGCCCATTAATAACATATGTGAAGACTGTTGGGAGTTATAGCTCTGGTTTGCATCATAACGATGAAACTTCATGCATCTTGATAAAAGTTACCATGACAGGATCTTAATTTGCATAGGAAAATTATTGATTTTCCACATCCTTCTTTCAAGCACACTGAAGTTATTCTTTCAAGAGGGAAAAGATGACATTAGCGTGTGATGGACGGCATTACCAGACAGTATTAGACACAAATTATTAGATCTAACCATGTCTGGTAAGACGCCTATCAACAGGCCTGGCTCTGTGACACCTAATAAAGAGGAAATGATGTTAACTTACAAAATAAAAATAGAATATGAAACATACAGAAAAGTACTTAGTTTGGCTTATCCCATAAAACAATTTTGTTCGGAACAAACATACAGCCAACCTGCGTGTATTTCAAAAGGCCTAAGGGACTGTAGATGACGTAGTCATGTAAATACGGGGGGGGGGTGGTGATTGACAAACGAGTTCATTTTAGACATACATACATAAGTGAAGAATAAAAAAGTACCCCATACAAGCAAATATAGGTGTGGTTCAGTATTTGAGAGTCAATTCACCCACCTTAAACAAACATTCAGTACTTAAGCAACTATACAACCATTTCTTCTTCCCAACCACCATGTTTAATGGCATAATGAAGGAAACAGGACTTTCTGTACCCTAAAAAAGTGGCAAAGGTCATTATAGTTCAGGATTTACGTGTACAGAAAATTTCCCTGTAATGTAAATTAAATTACTCAAAGTAAAGCTCCTCATAAAAGATACTCATAAAGATACTCTCCCCCTGAATGACATGTTTAACATGGACATTTGCCAAGATGATTTTCTGTGGGAAAATATATAGTCAGGGATAAAAGGAGTGGGGGAATGGGAAGAGGAGGAGTTGAGGATGTCATTATGTCTATTTTTATCGGGAGGGTTATACGCTGAGCTCATGTGTCAGTTGCAGGATGTGCCACGCAGGTTAAACGAGCTGGACCAATCACGTCTCGCCTGCTATCACAAAAGCCACCCTCAACATAAGAGGGGGGGAGGGGACTACGAAACTTTCAGCAGGTCTGGTTTAACAGTAAACCGACTGGTATTCTTTAACTAAGGCTGGGTGCGGTTCAGACGTCTGAAACACAAAATGGGACAACGTCAAAAAAAAAAAAAATGAAACAAAGCCCCTCAAGTCATTTATTAAGATAATTTCTAAAGACTTTTCATGCAAAGGGTCATCTCTTTATGCAACATTTTGAACTTTCTAACTGCCTATACTTTAACTTTGAGCATTGCTTCTAAATTTGTAATTGTAATAGAATTAAATATATAGTTTTGGGTACTAAACGATATTGTTTTCACACTATTAAAAACATACAGTCTAAAAGGCATTTTCTAGGACAGTTAAGACCACACCAGGAAGTGCAGAGAGTTCGTTATGGTTTCTGTGGAAACATGGCCTATACGCATTAAGCAAACTGTCAAACAAACACATGCCCTCATGTGGCTCTCTCATCCCAACAGTGGAAATAAAGGACAAAACAAGTGCTGTCAAACATTGTGATAAGAATTGCTACCATAAAGATAATACAGCCTTTCCCTCTGTAGCTTCATCATGTCACATACAAGCACATGTATAGTAAGTTGCATGTAGACTAATATCATTATTCTCCATTGAATGACTGGATGTGAACTAACACGAGCACTTCCCCTTGAAGTAATGAGGTCACCCAACAAACATCGTTACCAGACAGTGTTAGAAAACAGATACACAGTCCAGCACTGTCCGGTAAGATGGCTGCTAAGCGCCAGCGATGAGTGCTAATATTTCCAGAGTGCTGATAGAAAAAGTTCTGTATCTGAAGTTCGTGGACAGCCATCATCATCATTACCAGGCAGTATTAGAAAAAGTAATGAAATCCAATGCTGCCTCGTAAGATGGAGAAGACTACCCAAATCAATCTTAACAAGTGAAAAACATCTCAGTCCGGTGAAATATATCAAATGCTATCATCAGAAACACTCCAAAACATAATGTTAACAGTATTATAAGCAACCAATTCTTTGTGTTGTTTAAAATCAGACTGTAACGGCATAAGTTGGGGAGTCAACCACAGAAACTACATGTAGTATCAACAGGGCTTGATAACAGCTCTGACTCAGTCAACTGTCCCAGACAAAGGGGTATGCCAGCAAAATAACCTGCTTAAAAACAGGTAGAGCTAGTATGGCGCATGGCTTTGTTCATCTAAAAAACTGCAGCTGAAGTGCAGAGTGGGCCACTAAGACAGTTAATAATTGCCCAAACCTGTTCTGACTGGTCTGATTTGACATCATGGCCAGGCTGGGAGGGCTGTTCGCTTTAACAATATAATGTAGAGGGGGGAAAAATATGCATTTCTGCTAAACGGCGCTGAAAGCAACAAAGGCCTGACTGGGTGGCGTTGAAAGATTCGCTCATCCTCACAGTGCATGATACAAATCTGAAAAACCCAGTTGTCTTATTAAGAGAAAGAGATTTACAGCGAGTGTGGGAAGGGTTGACTATTGCTAATGTGTAGTGATAACAGCAAGCTGGAATGTTGTTCCGGACTGACCTGCGACCAAATTCGCCATTGAGAAGGTCGATCTAGACACTTCCTGTTTACTGAATAACGTTTGTAGCGCACAAAGTGAGAAACACCATCTTTAGCATACTGATAGTCACATGTTTTCGGTCACAAATGGCTAAATATTGGACAAAGGTGGTGAAATGAATTACTGATATGATTTGAATAATAAGATACAAGTAGACTAGATCTAAAAAGTACTTTTTTATGACTGCGAAGTAATATCTGTAGGGGTTATTCTTTTCAAATACCTAATTATAACCGTTAAAGGAGAAGAACAAACACAAAATCGTGCTAATTATTCAAAGCAATTACCACAAAGCAAAAAAGTGTTGAAAAATTGTGACAAAGAACAACATTTTTAGATATCGTGAGAAAATGAGAAATGAGCAGAGCAATGAGGGGGAGCAGAAAAAAGAGAATGGGAGGGAAAGATAGAAAGAGAGCGAGTGCAAACTTAAGGGTAGAGAGAGTGGCTGTAACCTTACCGTCGTGAAAGGGACCCTGGTAAAGTAACAAAAAAAAGCAAGTAAGGGGGGGGAAAGAAAGACAAAAAAATCTCAAATTTCCAGCAGGTGCCTGAAAAGGTTTCAGCTTCCTCTTGCTCAGTCAGGACCCATGCAATGAAAAGCCCAAGCAGACCTGCTCTCCCAGACCGTAGCCTCTATTTGGTTAATCATCAGCATTATAAACCAGTGCAGCAGGCCTTCTGAGAAAGAAAGAAAGAGGAAGAAGAAGAGAGAGAGGGAACAGGAATAAGTCAGAAGCAGAAAACGTTTTAAGCACATACTTGAGGGTTCTCGTCTATCGTCATCACTGTCCTTCTGGTAGAATAAGTGTCCCCTGTTCTGTTTTTCTCTATCTTTCCCTCACATATCAGCTCCCGTCAGGTGGAGGTTTAACTTTTCCTGGCTGTCTGCACTGGTCTCTGGGTTGAGAGTGAGGTGTGATCAGGTAACCCTGCCCTCCTGGTTGGAATGTGACTCCATACTGAAATGGACAACCTGAGGGGTAAACTAGGCTTGGCCTTAATCAATAGTTTGTGAAGAACAAAGACGAGGAAACCCTAAACCTTACTTAAAGGCGGGCCTCGCTCTGACGACTCTAATTGCTCTTCAGGTTTAAATGGACGTGTTGTTTCCTACTATGTGCATGTAACGAGAGAAATATGTAGTAGATTTATTCCTTTTCTGTTTTATAAGGCATGTTTCCTTGCTCAAAATGTTTTACTTAAGTTTGAATGGGAATAGGAAGTGGATGAGGGTCATTTGCATACGTGGAATAGATGGTAATTTCCCCCGTCATCCAGAATTTCCAGAGAACCCTCTTTAATTTTTCAGCATAATTATGTTAAACATGTTAAAAACTTCCTAAAAAAAGTTCTTCATCTTCAAAACTGTCTAAAAAAAGATGCTCACCTGCTAATAGATGCCCTCCCATGAAAATACTGAATGTGCACTGTGGCAGATTGCTGCTCTTAAGTACACAAGTTCAATGTGCCGCACTTCCGTGACCTCTCACCCGCGCGCGGTAATTAATACGCCATTTTCTTCCCTCACACGGAGGAACAAACACTACGACAAGAACCGCTGCCCGCTTCCAGCACTAACGGCTCTGTGATAAAGGCTTCATCGGCCTCCAAACGTGGAGATCTGTTACCTTTGCACATTGTCCCAGGTAGAGCTTAACTCTCATAATGCTCTGGCTGGGTCATAGAACTGTGACAAATGACTCATTCAGATGAGGGAATGAAACAGACTCATTTTCTTCCACCCACCAATCAAAACCCTCCACCTCACTGTGCATCCATTGTGCTGCCTCGCCGACATTTTCTTTCCACCGCAGACAAGCTCTTTTAAAATGCATTTATCAGCATTAATGAAATGACTGGACAACATAAGCCTGCCTTTAGAAACAAAATCAAGATTGTGTCAAGTCAATACAGGACTTATTATTAATCTAAAGCAGCGATCGTGACTATCAAGAAAGAAGGATAAAAGAGTAGACGACAGCTTAGTGCGTATAAGCTAATAGGCACTTGTTTGCTTTTCGCATCAGAAGCTGACAAAACAGCAATCATCATCTTGCTTCCTCTGAAATCATGCCAAAAAGACATGCAAAGACAAGCCTTACTACAAGCAATTGGAAGAGCAAATACAATTAATCTTTACAACACTTAAATTGATGAAAAATACAAACTAAACACTGCTATTTTTGTTAGTTTATCTCGATCAAAAGTATATAAAAGTATTTTTAATAATGAGAAATAATACAACCTCTTTCTTTATCAACAATGCTTTACTGTAGGCCTTTTTTGTCAGTGATTATATATTACAGAGCGTCCTTCTAAAGCTGTATTTTTTAGCAAAAGCAGAGAGGGCTCCTAAGCCCCCTCTTTATCCCCTTTGACAAGTCTGGCGGTTTGCCTCTACCTGCCCAAACTGGTTTATCCAGTCAAGGAATGACGGTTTGTGTCTATTGTGCTCCCTTTTTCTTTCTGTTTAAATGGATTGGAATTTGATACAGATTATGAGCGCCCCTCAACCAACTAAAAAAAACATCCCCCACTTCCTGTTCTGTATCACTTATGAGTTCTTTACTTTGTACTGTACAAATTGTAAATATAACTACCAATGACATGGTTTGTTGGCAAACAGGAACAAAACTAAGGGTGGGGACAACGAGCGCAAACAAACTCAAGCAATCATCGCAATACAAAAAGACAGATATAAATAGGTAGAGTTTTTAAAAAGTTACCCTTGCGTCCTCGGGACACGATCCACTAAAAACGAGAGACCCCACACTGCGCCAGTTACGCCGCTTCACCAGCATGTCCTTCTCTTCTCTCTTCGGCCGAACGACGCCCTTTAAGATTTTTGCAACCCCGAAAGCCAGGAAGGAGACCATCTCGAGGCGGGAAACCAGATTCCCAACATGACGCTGGGTGTTGAAACTAACAGAGAAGCAAAGCAGGTAAGTCTTTGTCTCAACGAAGACACTCGTCGCCGGGAGCTCGAGGTGATGCTACCTGTTTAACCTCTTTGAGAAGAGAGACAGAATTTGTAAAGAGAGCTTGCTTTACATGTAACAGGCCCCCTCCACCCCCACAGGTGTAATTTTCATGCCGCAGCCAATCTCCTAAGCCTGTAGCGCTTGCAGGTGTGTCCCAAACTCCATGATAGGTCAGTCCCGCCCCGGAGGGCCCTCTCCAACCACCTGCCCCCGCCCAAACTGCTTTGTGTATGTTTATGATGTCATCTCTCTTTGAGTGATTGCACCTTCTTTTCCTATTTCAACAGAAAGTCCATTCATGTTTATTCTAAAACAGACTAACAATTTCTTCCTCATCCTCTGATACAGACATGCAAGGAGACACAGCCTCTAGAACCAGAAAGGGTAAAACCAAGTAGCAACTGGCCTTTGCCCTGTTCATATTCCCACACCCATCGAACTCTAACCTCAGTCCTATAAAACAGACTAAAAGGGAGTTAGATATTATGAGCCGAGGGGACACAGGTAAACTCAGGCTTGTGACACTGTGTCATCAGGCCTTGAGGCAGCCGTCTAATCCTCGTTTCGTGCAGGCTGGTGGGCCCGACAACACACTGGGGCTCAACGTAATAGCTGGATTCATTTAAACAATGCAGACTGACTTGATACTAATCCTACGTCTGACAAATGTCAACGAAAGTCAGAAGATGATGACAAAATGGGCAAATATTGACCCTATTGTTGTGAGAATTCATAGTTATTTAGCATTTTCTCAGGAATTTGTTTTTTGGGGTGGGAAGTCAAACTGTTCCCTAGAAAGAGTTGATCAGTTGTACAATCAATTATTAGTAAATACACACACTGAAGTTTTATTATATAATACACACAAATTCTGTGATATTGAATCCTTTAATGATTATTATATATCATTTAATATAATATAATCGTTACATTACTTGGAGAAGTATTTCAGGTAATCATATAAAGGATAATGAGAGCATTACCGCCATAGGAACTGTCAGGGGCACAAAGGAGCACATTTTAATGATGTTGTTAAGGGGGTTTAATGGACAGGTGACTCCTCAGCCATCACTGATTGTGTGTGAGCATCATGTCAGAACAAAAGACTGAGGTTTTTCCCATGATAACCCGATACTTCAAGGTGTGGGCTATGTTGACCTGACTCACCTTTGACATCAAGGGCACATTAATCTTTTCAGACCAATCTGAACTAAAAACATAAAACTTTTACTTTTAATAACACAACGTGGTTAATTTGATGACATATTTAAGATTCTGCACTATTCGTTTCTGATCAAGTGACTCTTTATACAGATCACTCTCAAGAGTTCATGCAGCCTGAGTGCTGCTGTTATTAAAGCAAAATACAAATACATTTTTAAATTAAAACTTTTCACTCAAATTGCTGTGCTGATAATAATGATTTGTAATGAAAAATTGTATTCAGTTTTTGAAAAAATGGAAAAACGGAGGCATTTTCAATAGTGGTCTCAGACTTTTAGACCTTACTGGAAATTAAAAAGAGAATAAACAAAACTAAACATGCCATGCTACATGCAACATATGAATTCCTTAAGAAGCAACTACAAATGCAAGGTACTGTTATCTGGAATTCATTTCAAAGAGAAAAAGTAACTTCTAGTAAGTCATTGACTCCCATACGTTGTTCCCTCTGATACAGTATTTCTTGATCAGCGGAGCAGAGAAGTGCTGTACTAAGGTAAATGGGGACAAAGGGCCATATCCATTAAGCGGCCGACTGCTTCGTGCTTCTCTCCCCCGGCTGTCCAGCGAAAGAGGCCCTCCGGTTTGACTGGAAGGAAATTGGCCTGTCTAAAAGGTTTGCTTTGTTTAGCATTCTTTCATTTGCATTCCAAATGAGCTTTGAGAATGAACCGGCCAGGCACAACCAAAACTCATTTGGGTAGATAGATATCAGCCATGGCTGTCACGCAAGGCTAGCGGAGGGGCCAGACATCAGCTCCCTTTCCAGAAGAACCATGCCATAGACAGCGGCCACGGCCCTTCCACAAGAAGAGAGCAATCACGGCAATGTGCTCATCTGTGTTCAACTTCGTCCTCAGATCTACTGCACGTCAATCATTTTTCTTAAACATGGGAATGACAAATAGCAAAATGTATGTATTAGCAGAAGCGCACACACTTATTGACTTACACATGTTCTGTGCCGGATAGACAGCAGATGAACATAAGCAATGTAAATGTATTAGTGAAATGCTGTTTTTCATACTGGTTTGCATTTAGGACCCAGAACGAACACAAGGGATGAGTCACTCCTCGCTGAAGACAAACGAATGACTCCACAAAGCCCATGTTCTAGTTTCTCTCGTTCGCTTTATATATCCTGAATGTCTCACAACAAAGTATAACAGTGGCAGCACACACTTATTGGGCAGCACTCTTGTCTAGATGTCAATCAATTTTTTTCTGTCATACTAATAGTAGGCTACATAGCTTCAACACATAGATTCATGACTTCAACAAAAAGTTGTAAAAACAAAACAAAAAACCTTTCCGTTATTTTAAATAAAGCTAAAATAATATAAAATATAAATATTACATGAAAAAAAAACATGGTAACTACATTAAGTTAAAGTACTACAATTACTAAACCTGAAATTAAAAAAAAGCAAAACCCAATAATTAAAAAAAAAAGAACAAAATATAACCAAAACTAAAAATGAGAAATATAACAATAAAAGCCCAATCAAAATATTAATTAATACTATAATAGAACATAAATTACACCTTACTAACACTAGTACAAGTTAAACTCGATAACATTTGTGGCATAAATGTTGATTAACACAAAAAATTATTTTGACTTGCAAAACATTTAGGTTATGGTGGGGCACTTACAATGGATTTGATTGGGGCCAGTTCTTGGAGGATTTAAAAGCAGAAATGTAATGTTAATCATTTATGAAAACATTAATTTGAGCTGAGTTTTTGTGTGTCCATTTTTACAGTTGTTTTAGGGATTTATGTGCAAACGTCATGGCAAGTTGGCCAAATTTAATATAACCATACAGGAAAAGTAAATTAGGCCTATTTTTTCACACTTAAATCATGTTGAAATGCATAATGTTAATGTTTTCCTGACTATATGACTATACTTTTGAAGCCTTGAGTATTTTAATGTTTACAGATTGGACCTAAAGCACCTCAAAATGTAACCGAGATTTTTGAAAAATAAAAAAATGATCAGCAAAATATCAGTCATTACATGACTTTTTGAATTTTCATTAGCAACATATAAATTCCTTTATGCAAAGGAACGTATGTGTTGGGATACATTAAGCCATGGTGCCCATGCTGTGATGTGACTGATTCTGGCTCACGTCATTTGTCTATACTGCTTATTCTTCTCATTTTACTTTCTGTCCCCTCTTTATTAATAATAAAAGGCAAAAATAAAACAAGGTAGCCTATAATAATACTGATATAGATATATATATATAAAAAGCGCTGTACAGTGATTGTGTTCTTTGTCCAGAACCATGTCCATCAACACCTGTTGTATGTTTTTATCTCTTGGAGTCTCTCACTCTATTTGCTTTGCTTTTGTATTTTGGTCAGGCAGACTCCTGTGAAATTACAGAGTTGTGTGTTGTCTTAGCAGGAAAGCTTTGTCCAGATGGGTCAATGCAAAGGCTCTTGTTCACTTAAATATGTTCTTTCATTTGATGCACTGTACTTCATGCAAACCTGCTACGACAACGCACCATAATGTCTCAATGTCATAATCGTCTCCAGCAGCATTGTCAGATATCTACAATTTAAGTGAAAAATTCCCTTCCTGCATCTTGAGAAGCTTCTTTACCTGTGGAAATTCACCAGGGGATTGAGGTTTGAGGGGGAGACATAAACGAATACACAACCACAGCCTTGCTCTGACTTGCCACGCATTACCTTCATTGGGTAATTGGCCTCCAGGGATCGTGGGTGTAGTGCTTGTGTGTCACTGAGTTTGTCTGTGTGTCCCCAAGGAGAAGTTGCCATAGGTGAAGGGAAAAGAGTCAGACCTACCAATTAATGATCTACCTTTTCCCCACAACACACTTGTTAACACATCACACTGGCCTGTGTTTGACCACTCATTCAAAAAATATATTTCAGGAAAAAAGTAAGAGATTTTATCAATAAAGTCATCATTGGTTTATTCAACCAGTACAACTCTATCACACATATACAGCCTTCTTATTAGTTCAGATTGAGCAGGAATGGGTTATGACACTGAAAGTCTGCTGTCAAAGAGTTCGAGTCAAGCACAAAGTTCTGAAAGAGCTGAAGCAATGATTCCGAACCATTTTGTTGTGTGATCGATGCCTGTGAACGACGTTAGGAAAGAAATGTTGTCAAATTGGACGGCTGCTGAAACTGAAAACTTTACTCCATCCAAATGGATAGAAGTCAAAATATGTCACTTTGTAGACAGATTATTGGAACAGTTACAGTAGATTCTCTTATAAGACTTCCAATACAATGTAATTTGCAGCAAATAACAGATTTAAGGAGATCCATTTCTATTCTGTTTCAAATAAATGCTGTTCTTTTGAACTTGAAGTAAGAAAAGTAAGTTTGATGACCAGCATATTAGAATGATTTCTGAAAAATCATGTGACACTGAAGTCTGGAGTAATGATGCTGAAAATCCAGTTTTGCCATCAGGAATAAATCACATTTTAAAACTGGAAACCTGTTATTTTAAATTGTAATTTATTTCACTATATTGCTGTTTTTGTTGTATTTTTAAGCATACAAGACTTCTTTCAAAAACAATAAAGAAATCTTTAAACGGCAGTGTATTTAATAAAAAAAAACAGAATAATGCAGAATTTGTCTTTAAACATACAAGACTAAAACAAACAGTTTGGATTATAACAAGATCTATCTCAATCATGTATTTCTCTTCCAGTGAACTGCAATTGAAAACAAACACTGGTAAATACCAAATCATATGTGCTTTAACATAATATGTGCTATTAGATTACAGCCGTGACC